CTTCTCGCGCGTTTGGTCGCAGGTTTTCTCCGGGCGGGGAGCCTTCTTTTTCCAAGAAGCCACCTGGGCGAGCATGGTATGTGTCAAATAGCCCCAGCTTTGGTTCCCAAACAAACCTCAAACCGGGCACCTTCAAAAGCTGAAAAATGGCATCGAAGCTGAGGATCAGACTCTGCAGGGGATGGCTTTGGGGTTACCCGTGCGCCTGCAGGACGCTGTCGGTTGTGTATAATATGCGTTTGTGGGCTGGTCTCCCCCCCCAACAAAAAAGAAGAAGAAGAAGAAGAAGAAGAACAAGAAGAAGAGGACAAAGGGCGCATTCAAGGGCGTGACCAGCCCATGCGAAGTTGTTGGAGAGATAGTCAAGAAACGCTGCGGGTGCAGCTGAAAGTGGAAGAGTTTGTGGTTGATCGTCACCCTCCAGACTAGGCTTGATGCTCCAAACATGTCAAGTGAATCAATCCCAAACCACCATAAATTGCAGGGTGTTCCCTTGTGCCCAACTTGTACTAATCAACCAAATGGTATTTGGGGAGCCTTTGGCGTTCAATCCACAGAGATCTCCAAGGGAAACGGATCTCCTGAGGTCGTAAGGTTTCGGGAAGAATCCCTGGCTTAAGGGCATCGGGGGTCTTTGGGATCGCCAAGACACGGATTGCTACATGTGTTGTCGGCTTGCAAGTCAAATTCAGCGGTGTGTGATCGCTTCCAATGCAACCGACATCATGTAAGCCTCGAAGTGCGCCGATTGATTGGATCCCATACCCAGAAAGGTTCCTAGCATGGACGCCACGTTCATGGCACACAGGTTTATGTCATGGCATGGGTGGCCTTTTCGGGCTCTTTCTGAAGGGGGAAGCGCATCTTGGAGGGATGGCTTTCTTATTCCTATCTTTTATCTCAACTCCCAGTCTTAGCTGATATCTATTGGGTGAAGAGTTGGGAGATAGAAAGCCATCACTTGCCTCCCATTCACCCCTGTGTCTAGGATGTGATTAAGAGGTGAGAAAGGGAGAGGATGGAGATGCTTCTTTCACGCACCATCATTACGCTATAGAAGCATCTCCATTCATATGTCTCTCCAATAATCTCATCTGTCTGTAATAATTCTTGGTCGTTTTTTTTTCCCAGACCAATTTCAGGATTTCTAGCTGGGACGGGGGAAAGGAAGCCTCTTCTCTCCTCACCATCTCCTTTCTCTTAACAAATCTTGGCTAATCTCAACAAATGAAAAGGAGATGGTGGGTCTCGCCTCAGAAATCTTCGTCTCGCTTCCATGTGCGAGTTTCCATCGGAGTATTTTGAGACAAACTGGTCCTTTGGGCGGTCCTCTTCGCTTTGCAGGACGAGCAGCGGAAATTGGTGGTCTCGCAGGAGGGGACCGGAGAGTCTGACGCACCAGGGGCCCACTGGAATTACACGAAAGGGATCCTAGACGACTGGGATTGGCCACTTGTTTGGATGGATAAGACGGTGGCAAGAGATCGGGGATGTGGCGTGGACCATGCGGTGGTTCTGCAATTTGTGAAAGTTGTAGCTCCCGAGATGTTTTCAAAGAAGAAACCGTTGATGCCAGAGTTTCACAAGTTGCCCTCCCTACCAACCTTGCCAACCTGAAGATCCTGAAAGCCCCCATTTGGGTGCTAACTAGTGCATCATTCTCGAATTCCCCTCTTCGAGACCAAAAGTTGAACTATCAACTCATGCAAGACAGCATTCGTTTTTGAAACCGCGCAATGGGGCGCCAGGATGCCAAGACACTTGAGCTGCACTTGGAAGGCAGGGCAGACGGTTTCAAGCATCACGACGGCAAAATAACCTGGGGCCCAACAAAAGCCACCATGTTGAGAGGAAACGTCTGTTCGGAAAAGGATTCCTCAGAAGGATCCATGCTCGCACGCCGGGGTTGGATTGCGTTGGAAACATAGCAAGCCAATGGTCAACTTGGTGTGGGAAATGGGGGGAACGTACTTGCCCAGAGAAGCCAGGCAAGGCAGATGTCCGTTGCAAGTCCCAGCAGATTTTGAACATAACGCATATCATGCGCTCGACACTGGCCGCAAGACATAAATGGGGGTCGTTTTCCCGATTCGAGAAGCCGGTGAAAATATGGGGGTCAAACGTGACGTCCTTTTCTGGAGCCTTGCATCGATATGCGCCTTTCAATGGGATCCAGAAGGCATCCAGGGTGGCAACTGTGTCAAGACCAGGGCCGCAAGTGGGCGCCAAGATACCCAACGGTGCGGAGACTTCAGACGCCTTGCCCACATAGCGCCCTGATGACCTCAAAGCTTCCCACACCCCTGATGACCTCAAAGCTTCCCCCCACAGTTACCCGGTAAATGACCCAAAGCAAATCCACATGTAAATGACCCCGCAAATAACATGGGTGTCCCGTAACCGCAAGGCGTCCCACATCTGCCCGTAAATGGCTCAAGTCTCGGTCCATTTAAGTTTGTTTTCAAATTCCGAGCATGGCCAGGAAGCACTGAGCGGGCACTTCCTGTGCGTGTGCCGCTAAGCCAGGCGCGTGGCTACCTGTCTGCTGGCAAACCCTTTGCCCAAGGCTGTGCTGTGGATGGACAATATCCATTTCACACCACCTAAGAAACCATGGTTGAAACTATAACGTTGAAGTTACCGAGGAATCGAATCATTAAAAGGCTTCTGAACGGTGGTGCGGAATGGATTTCGCGACCATCCACAGTGGTGTGATAGATGGGCCGCTTTTGGATGCGTTTTAATCGCTTCTGACAGTTCCACACGTTTGGAAATACTGGTCAAATACAGACGACGGACGGACCGACAGACAGACAAGACAGACTGACAAGCAGACAGACAGACAAGCAGACAGACAGACCGACGGACAGACAGACAGACAGACAGAGGACGGATGGATAGACGACGGATGGATAGACAGACGACGGACGGACAGACAGACAGACGGACGAACAAGCAAACAAACCAACAAACAAACACACAAACACACACACACACACACACACAAAGAGAAACACCTACGAACACCCAAACACACCAAGCAAGACAGCCAGCCAGCCAGCCAGCCAGCCAGCCAGCCAGCCAGCCAGCCAGCCAGCCAGCCAGCCAGCCAGCCAGCCAGCCAGCCAGCCAGCCAGCCAGCCAGCCAGCCAGCCAGCCAGCCAGCCAGCCAGCCTCAGCAAGCAAGCAAGCAAGCAAACAAGCAGGCAAACGAAACTTACAGGTTTTGCTCAACAATATGGGTCACAAATCGTTTGTTTTGTTTGTTTGTTCGGTCGGTCGGTCGGCTGGCTGGCTGGCTGGTTGCTGGGCGCGTCTCATGTTGAATGATCAGGTTGTGGACATCAGCTTTGGAGCTCGACCCAACATCCTGGTGCTGCGGTTTAGCGATGCTTTGTGCAGGACAGGGCTTGGGATTTGGGCGGTCTTCTATTAGATGCGCATTTTGAAAGCCAAAGTAATGCACGCGGAAAGGTTGGCCGCGTGTCCAAAAGTTGGTGTTGCTGATTGAGGCCATGTGGCAACAGAAACAAGCCCTTCGTGAAATATGTTTTCTATTGAGCGGTTGCCGTTCGAAGCAGGTGTTACATGTTGGTTGGTCGGGCTGTTCACATCTATGGTACTATCCTTTTTCCACTGTGGGACGTGGGACACTGGGCCCTTTCAAGAGGATAGCTTTGACGGAGCCTCGAATTATGAGGCTATGAATTTTAATAGGGAAGCCCCTGAAAAGTGATTGCGGACATAAATCCCCACCTAAATGGGTCCGTAAATGGGACAATCATGTCCACCATTTCTAGTCCAACAATCCCGTCCAACTGATTGGTGGACAACCAGTTCGGGTCCCCAATTGAAGTTCAGCCTCGTATGATTGTCGGACGGGCAACAAGATTCGCTCGCCGGCGCGATTCAGGGAGCCGCTGGAGCTGGGGTTTTCGGACGAAGAGCAGCGCTTGAAGGCTCGTTGACTGTCCCTTTCCGTGTGGAAGAGTTCTTTTCGTGCCACTTTCTGTGATACCAAGAAAATGCCCCTCAAAGTAAGTGATAAACTAGTCGTGGGAATGACGCGATTGAGTTGTCAAAGAAATATTGATGTCCGCAACCGGTTGGAAAGCTGGGCAAAAGGACACCAAACAGGAGGGTCCCCGATTTTCAGACACACCGACTTGGGGAGAAAGGTTCTATGAACCCTGGTTGCTTTGGCTCCTCAAGTAGGATGCATGTACCTTGAAGAGGCGGTGTGAAGCCTGCTAGGCACGATGTCCTCAAATGACTCAAATGTGAGGAGTTCTGAAGTAGATGGCAAGGAATCTTGATGGTTGCTGATGTTTGTAGTATGTAGCTGACCTGGTATTTCTGGTATTTGTTGTTTGTCAATTTGGTCGATGTTTGTCAATTTGTCAATTTGGTCGATATTTGTTTGTCAGTTTGGTCAATATGGTTGTTTGTGACTTCTTGACAATTTTTGGTCGTGCGAACATGCGCCTGCCTGGCGACTCCAGGTGGCTTTAAGTCTTAAAGTGCTGCGAGCTCAGTGAGAGCCGGCCCGTCTCACCTCTCACTCTGTACAAGGCCAGAGTGACTAGGTCCCCCGGTAGTGCCCTTTGACTCAAACCAACTTTTTTGGGGGAGGGCTCCCCTACAAAAAAAATAGACTACAGAAAAGGTGCCCTGAACCCTGACCTCTCTACTGGAGGACCTAGGTGAGCATTGGCCACCGCGCAAAACCTGCTTGGCAGCATTCGTCAGCTGGTTGCATGGCAGGTTTGAGAGTTGCAAGCGGGGGCGCAGGAAGTTGTCACACAGCCTTCGGAACGCACCTAGTGGATCACATGTGTCATGGTCAAAAAACAACCGCTTCCTTGGGTTTCAGGGGGATGGTGGACCCCTTTACTCGATAACTTGGAAAAACCATTGTCACGTAGAACGGCCCAAGGAGTCGTGGCCCTCACATGGCAGTCATGATTCGAAGGTGCCAGCAGTTGGGCCCTTTAGTCATTCGCAACATGCCAGCAAGCAGCCCATGTGGGCCTCACGGACCGGATCTGTTTTCCATCGGCGTGTGTCTCAAACCAGAAAAAAACATTTCGGTCTTTCTTGGTATCCTTTTGGCCCTGCAGCTGTTCGAGATGTAGAGGCTGTGTATTTGTGTGTGGGTGCCTTCCCAGGGACGAGGGACACTGCGTCCTGAGCCACGAGCAAGCGCATCTTCCTGCATCGAGCTGGATGGGTTGGAAGTGGCTCGTCGCGTTCCTGGCCGGTGCCTTTGCGCAGCCCACAGAGGTCCCGGGGCAAGTTGCCTTCTACGACCTGGACCTGGATGTGGGAGAGCTTCCCAGCCCAGTGGCGCCCTTCTTCTTCTTTTTTTGTGGGAGGTGTTCCCCTTTAAACTCAACTAACCAAACAAAGAAACAAAATGCTGGGCACCTCCCATGGGAGTTGCCCAGCGGCGCCCTTAAACTCAACCAACTCAAAAAGCCACTCACTCCAATTGGGGTCTGGAGTCTTGAGCAATGTGGCGGAACGAACCAAACAAGGATGCCCCTTTTCTCCCCGTGGACATCCGCGCATCCGAGGATCTCCGGCACCTTGGAGTTTGTGAAGGCCTCCTCGGAGGCCAACATCGACGCCTACAACGCGGCTCGGCGGCGCCGGAAGTGACCCCGCGCGAAGGAGCGAAATGGCGGTGGTCCAAACCGTTCAACGGTTGATCCCATGTTGGGGGGTAGGTCGGTGAACTCGCCGCCCATTTTGGGCTTCTTATTTTTGTGGTTGGAAATTGGGGTGTTCACTGGGGGCTAACCGATTTGGAGTTTGAAAAGCCCATGGCCGTTTGGCTGTGGCAATCAATGGAACGATCGGAGGGTTGCGCAAACCGCAGGAATGTTGGCCTGTGAATTTCCACTTACCGATCGGGCAAGCCATTTCGGAAACTTCCGGAACTTTTTGGAGCCAAATCGCCAAATCGCCTGTGACACCCCCGGGAGCCCGAGGCAAAAGCTTGAGGTCAGTTGGCTTCCAAGCGGCAAACGTGACCCTCAAATCTTGACTGCTATTGGCTATTGGGCAACGGATCTTTAGACTTTAACCCTTTTTGGTTGAAATCAAGGGGGGTTTTCCACCAAACCCCCCCAAACAATTGTCCACTTTCTGCAGGGGGGGGTCGTTGCAGCAACCAAGAAACCCCAGCGTTTTGTTTTGTTTTTGTTGGTTTTTCTCGGGGCTGAGGTCTACTGGGGCTCCTCCTCCAGCGCCAAGCTGCTTCCCTTCTTCACTCTGGCGGCGGACGGTTTCGCGCCCTCCTACGCCATCCCGAGCAATACGGCGGTGCCAAGCACGGCCACGCACTTCCTGGTCTTCAGCTCCAACTCCTTCGGTCACTTGAGCCGCACTCAAAAACTCGTTCGGGTAGATGAAGGCTAGCAAGGGACGATCGCCGGAAATCGCTGATCTCCGCCTTCTTAGTTCTTTACGCATGGTTATGGGACGATTTTTTGTTGGCACCGAATCGGTTTTTGAGCAAGTGACTCACTTGCGAACAAACCTCCGACCAGATCCTCTGGATTCGGCTCTTGGAGCCTTGAGCCGAGTGAGGCATCCCGGGTCCTGCCTCTCGGGACCGACCTTTAGGCTGACCTATGGTGGATGCCCTGCTTAATTTTTGCAAGGGAGCCAAGGAAACTCTCAAAATTCGCATGGTGTGTGGTTGGTTTACCTTTTTTTCTCGAATATTTTGGGCATCCATCGTGCCTTCACATCCCTCCAAGCGTGGCGTGAGGTGAGGGCGCTACTCCGTCCAGCTACGCCTTCACTGATCGGCACGTGCCCACCTACGGGCCCAATGGCATCTTCTTCTCCGACACCGGGTATACCTCGGGGCAGGCAAGGGGAAGCTCCAGCCTCGTTCTATCGTCTTAGACGGAGTTGGATCTCTATTGAAAAACTTGCGGGGTTGGATGAAGCGCCGAGTGGCGAAGCGCAGCGAAGCGCAGTCGCTGAAACGGGGGAGCAGTGAACTCAACAGGTTCAACCAGCCAGAAAAGTGCAGCAAGCGTAAGGGCGCATCACAACGTAGAAGAGCCCGTAAAACGCAACAAAGCGCGGTAGCGTATAAGCGCAACAAAGTGCAGACGTATAGAAGTTCAACAAAGCCCAGAAACATACAAGCGCAGCAAAGCGTAGAAGTGTAGAAGCGCAGCAAAGTGCCGAAGCGTAGTAGCACGACAAAACACAGAAAAGCGGCAGAGCACGGCAAAGCGTCCAAGTGCAACTCATGTTCAACGCCTCGAACCTGCTTTCGCGAGCGATTTCCAAAAGTGTGCAAGTCCTGCGCTGTTGAAGGCTGACATATCCCATCTTTTCAGAGGGTTGTGCGAGCCAGTAGCAATAGTGTAAAAAAGTCGTCAGAGTTCGAAGCTGATCAGCCGCAAGTCTCAGGCGGGCTGCATTGGCAAGTGACTACAGTGTTGTTGTTTTGTTTTCCACTTTTTTCTTTTTTCTTCCGTTACTTTCCTGACCTAGTCCACCCCTGCAGGGTTTTGCGTGAATGGTCAGCAAAAGTTCAGAACAACATCATCAATTTTGCAAGGTTGACCCACCCGGGCACATCGGACGAAGCAGCCTGACCCACTGCGCGCGTGCAAACCAATGGAGCGCTTTCAAAGACCGTGGCGAACTCTTGGCGAGCCCGCGCGCTGACCGTAAAGGTGGCTTTCGCGATTTCGCAGCTGTCTACGGTCTTAATTCCAATTGATTTTGCTCTGACCTTTCCCTGGCTCTGTCACAAAGAAACAGATAAACAAGAATGCTGTAAAACCATAAATCCAGGAACACAGACAAAAGCATTCTCATAAAGACACTCTATCCCTTACAACTTCCAGGATTTAGAATTGTAGACCGAAAGCATTCTCATAAAGACACCAAACACAAATAATCTCAGAAATTATCCTCCAAATAAGACTTCTAGACCTAACAACAACCATCAAAGATAAAGACAGTAGACAATACAAATTAATTATCTGCAGATATTAAAAAGACAAATGACATGTGAATGATAATAAGATAATATTTTCATTTTAAGAAAAGTTTCCTGATTAACTAAACTAGTCGAAGTGTCGGCAATAATATAGCTGAGACAGTGCCGGAGAAGGCTGGCAGCTTGTATCAAATCCCAACCAACAGCGCCAAATCAAAGTCTTGGAAGAACGTCACTGCGAATGCGCGCGCCTAAAGATCCCTGAACATGCTCATGTCAACGGAAGACGCTGAGAAGCCTAGCCTACCACGTCACGCCTAGCCTAGACACCGAGAACCCGAGATCTGCGATGAGAAGCCTGGAAGCTTCCAGCATGGAGGCCCAGGAGCCTGGAAGCCTCTGGGATCCCAGGGGTCGCGTTGAAGCGCTCGGACGCTCCGAATCGTTTTGTCGCGCTACTACGCTTCATGCTTCCACGGGTTTCCACGGGTGTCCGCGCGTTTAGAAGCGCTTCTGCGCTTCTACTTCTTTCTGCGCTTTGCTGTGCTTCTGCGGTTCTGCGCTGCGTTGCGCCTCTGTTGAGCTCCTGTGTTTGAAATGTGGTTTGTTCCGCAAAGTTCCGGCTCTAAGCTTGCTTTTGCTTCTGCTCCGTGTTGAGCTTATCTGCGCTTCTACGCTTCGGCGCTGATTTGGTGTGGCTTGGCAGAGGTTACCCCAAAAGGCAAACCTACTCTCGCGTTGACAGATCCTTCAGTTTTCAGTTTTCAGACTCGGGCTCCTGCTGGCCCTTGGTTGAGTCTCATGTTTCCCTTTCTGGTGTTATTTCCAGGACCCTCGGGGCAAACTAAGAACTGTCGAGTGTGGGGCCAGGTTTAAGAGACGAATCTCTCCAGGCTTGGGAACTCGGAAGAAGGCCCCAGCGGCTTGTATGGCCAGATGGGAGGTTCGTTTGGTTTCTTTGACACGATTTCAACCAGCCAAAGAAGTATGGAGTTCCCCTGTTTGGCACAGACCTGTACACCTGAGAAGCGACTGGAAGTCGGCTTGGATGGCAAGTTTCACACCTGTTTGCCTTGTCGAGTACGCGTAGGCCCCTTTGAGATGAGAATGGATGGTTGCCGCTGGTTTCAGTTTGTTTCAACTCCTTCACCGGTGGAATCCGCTTTGTTACGGGGCCACCAGCACGTGGCCGGTTTGAGATATGGGGGGGAGTTCTCAAAATGGCGGACTTTTTTGTAAGGAGAAGCCACCAGAAGTAGTTGCATCACCCACATACTTGTTGTTTGAATATAATACATATCTACATATATATATATATATATTTGGAGAAGCCACAAGAAGTCGTCCATTTTTAGCGGTGCCCTGCCCATATCCCCGGGCAGGTCACTGGCAGCATCACCATCTCCAGGGCCGCCAGCGAGGCGGACGTCACCCACTACGCCCTCTACTGGGGCTCCTCCGCCTCCACGTTCTTGCACCTCAGATTTGGCCATTGCCGGCGTCCGATGTTTCGGTGGGGCGCCTTGCCGGTTTTCCTTCTGCCTGGTGTCATTCAGTGTTGGGTACCAGGTGCAAGCAGAAGGCATGGCGACACGGGCAAATTCCCCTTAGCAGATATATGCCCTCAACAACTTCCATAATGTGAAAGCTGGCAGGTAAACGGTAAACGCTTACTTTCCGGGTTTGCGATTGGTACCGTTGTACATCGTTGCCTCTTCCTGAAATGATGATGGCCCAAAACATACAATCCCTCCCTTGCTGGCACCCTCCAAATCCCATTTTTTTGTGGCGGTTCCCTTGTTCCTTGTTTCTAGGTCCAGCTAGGTGCCCTTCCTCAGCTTCTCAGCCCTTTGGTTGGGGAGGGTTCCCCTGCTAGAATAGACTACAGAAAAAAGGGATAGAATGGCTTTGTGGAGGACATTATGTTTACAATCCAACATTGAAGAGGTTCTTTGTCTTTCATTTTCTATTTCCATTTCTTCTTTGTGGTTTTCTTCTTTATCATATTTTTAATCTACATTTTCTATCTTCCAATAATCCTAACAGGAATTCCACTAATAATAAAATAGCATTTGTCCTTTCATTATTAGTAAAGATTTCTATGGAAAGATATTCATTCTCTATCTATACCTTCTTCAAATTACCTCCGGGTTCTCTTCTTTCTCACATCCAGAGAATGCATTAGAAGCATGTGGATTACTAACTCCTTTACATATAGTACCTGAATGGTATTTCTTATGCCAATATGCTATGTTAAAAGCTGTGCCAAATAAAAATGCAGGATTCATTATCTTATTTACTTCTATCTTCATCTTATTTTACTTTATGAGAAGTCTCTCTTTTTCATTCTATTTTATAATATTTACATCTAGTAGATTTAATGGTTTTTATCTGTGCTTTTGGTTTCTGAATCTTGTTTCTTTTATTTGGATAGGTGGTCAATTTCCTGTAGACAACTTTCTATCTTATGATCGTATCTTGACATGTAATTATTATTATCGTCTTATCTGTATCTTATTGTCTTTTTATTTGGATTTCTTTTATTATTTTGGATGTGTTTGGAGATGAAAGTAAATGAGATAAGATGGCATCATATTGTATCTCTTCATCTTAATTTGGAAAAGATGCCATCATTTTGTATTTTTGTGTCATCTTTATAATAATTCATTTTGGTCTTTTATGTACCCTTATTATATCCTCTCAACTGGAGGACCTGGACTCTTGGGTTCCAAAGATGAGATCAACACCGCTGTTTATCAAGTGCCAGTCTTGAAGGCTGAATACCATGCCAATCCAATTATCCGCCCAATAGCCGCGAATCAGCCACCATGTCGATGGCTAAAGCATTCCAATATGGGTATGAACTTTAATTCGGGACTCCCCTTTGGCCGACTTAGATTTTGTGTCCGCCAACCATGTTGGAGGCCGTTTCCTCTTAAAGCTCACACCAATACATGTTCCAGGTTTTGCGTGCCCCCCCCCCCAACCTGGTACCCTCCTGCTGTGGAGTGTTTGGGGCTGGGGGTGGTCATGTTAGTCAGTGGCTTGCTTAGACTCGGTTTAAGGCTAGGGTTGGTCCGGGTTTGCGCAATGGTTTAGCTTGAGTTTACTTAGTGGATTGATGCAAAGGCGCCACAACAGAGCCTTCTAGCCACAGCACAAATGACACAGCGCTCATGGCATCCGGGCACATGATTCCCCAAGCTGGCTTGATCTGGGTATGGGTCAAAATTAAACCACCAGGGGACCGCCAGGTTTTAGTCCTTGGTTCCATTTACCAGGGATCCTTAGACTTTAACTTTTTGGTTGAAATAAAGGTGATTTCCACTAAATTCCCCCAAACAAAAGTTATTCACTTTTTCCAAAGTGTTCTTCATGTTTTCACCATGGCGGATCACTGATTGCGCTGGTTGCAAGTGGAGATAGAATAACGGTACCCTTCTTGCTGTAGTCTATTTTAGTAGGGGAACCTTCCCCCAAGAGAAGCTGGTTGCAAGTGGCACGTCGGTTTTCGTCACCGAGGCTCTACATCGCCACGGTGCCAAAGGCCACGGATCCCTTGGTCCACGGCCTGGCCGCCGCCACCGTTCCCAGCGGCGGAACCCACTTGCGCCTCGAAGATTTTGGGTTTAATGATCTGTCTCAGAGCAGGGCTCCTGAAAAGAAATCTCCATTTTGCCTTTCCATGTGAAACATGTGGCTTTTGCAACCACCAAACTAAAGTTGGAAACCACCAGAAAACAAGGCAAGCAAGGTTCAGGTGTATGCATCCGGATCCTTGCTCCATGAGCCTTGCATGCATGGGGTCATGACCCAAAATCCTCGTCCATTTGCTGAAATGAATACTTTTTATGTTCCCCTGTTGGTTTTAAAGGGAATCTATCACTGCTAGGGATTGAGGGGAGGGGGAGGGAGCCCTTATTCAGCCCTTATTCAGCCCTCAATCAGGCCTTATTTACGTGATTTAGGGCTTATTTTTGGCTCCCTGCCCCTCCCCCCCCCTCCCCCCCAGCCCCCAAGAGTTTACCTGTCTCCATGAGCCTTAAATGGGGTCATGACCCAAAATCAGGGGGTCATGGACCCATTTTGTAAGGGGTCATGGAGAATTCAGGTAGTCCTGTAGACTGTATCTTCAACTTCTGTTTGGGAAATGATGCGGTTGTAGACAAAACGTCTCGTCAAGCCTACTTATAGTGAAGACCCCTTGACTGCATACCACCATTCCTGCAATAATTGCGCCGATGAGGCGGCCCAAGTCCCTCCGAAAAGGTGCAATTTCTTTGAACTACCCTCAAGGTTTCCCTTTGCCACATGAAAAGGGTAAGTCCAAAAGACGCCCAACCGCCCGGCTGCAAAACGAATGCTCCGTGAGCCGCCCTGGCGTGTAAATTTCGGTTGCCGCTTCTTTGGTCCTTGACAGAATCGTCAAGGAACCTGATGCACCAAAGGATAAGTGGCGCCGCATGTACGAAGCCTTGGTCAAAATTGATCTGGCCATGGGTCAAAATCCAAAGCGTAACCTTAGTGAACATCCCAATCCAACCACTATAGGTTCTAAAATGGGTGGCAAATTCACCTACCAACCAAAATGGGGCCATTCGTTTTGGCCCACAGCCATCTTTTCTTGTCTCGTAAACCAAGATAAACGTCACAGGAGGGACCACGCAAGCCGAGATTACACGCGAGGGGGTTCAGGAACCCCCTCCCTCATGGTCCAGTAACTGTGCCCCGGTCGATCAAACACGTGCAGTGCGATTTGCTTCCAAGAACTCTTGGTCTTTTTCCGGATTTGCATGGATTTGCCCGATCCCTGGGCCTTCTTCCATTTGCCTGGGTACCTTTCGTACAGAAGGAATTCAATGCGAACCCAATCTTGATAGTCGCCCTTTCGGAGATGAGTTCAAAGCTTTTTGTCTCATGCAACCTGTATTCTCGTGTTGGCCTTGCCATAGTTTTCGGACGTGTTGTTTTGTGTCCAGGTTTTCCATGTGCGCCCTTATTATAGATTCCGCGTGAAAATCGAGTCCTTTGCCAGTATCTCTCTTGCCTAAATTCGTGCCAGGGGCTTTAATCTTGGTTGCACTCTTCGCGCCCGCCGCTCCAAGTGGTCTAAATGATCTTTGTCGCGGTTCTGTCCCACTGGGTTGTCCATCTCACTTGCAAGGCACTGCGAAAGCACGTGGGGCCTTTTGTTCCTGTTTGTTCTCTGGTTAGCTGCTTGTCTTAGACCAGTATCTCTACCAACCATAGCGACGCGGGAGCAAAAGGTTACACTTCTTGCATAGCAGACAATAGCTACCGAGGCAGGAACAGCGGCCGTGTGCTTCTACTGCTTGGTTTTATAGTTTATAGGGATTAGGCCCCTATAGTCCTTGACAACCACGTTGGTAGACCAAAAAGTCAATGGGTGTTTGGCGCATTTTGGCGTTTCTCACATCCCTTTTTCTGGGCCCTGAAAGTGATTGCATGTTCAGGGGGTTCCCTTTTAACCACCAACAAGAGGGTAAGTTTGAGGATGTAGATGAATGGACCCAGTTTGTACACCCCAGCGGGAGATGTGAGTGCATTTGTTGGGGGGGAACAAACATTGGTCGTAGAGAGAAACCACAAAGCCAGCATACAATTAGGACATGGCATGTGGAAACGATCTTGGATCTTTTGTCTGCAGTGTGGGCCATGTTAGCAAAGTTCACAACGTGGTCCAACGAGCCCAACCAGAAAGGGTCTACCAGGAAACGATAGGTTCGCCAGCTCGTTTTTTTCAGTTCAGGAGCCATCTTTCCACGAGTCCTGGGAATTGGTGTTAAACGATTCGCCTTGGTTCTGGGCATGGCTGTCCATGTCAATTTGTGAAAATCCATGGCACTGATTTCAGTTTGGTTCCAATCATGTTTCAGTGTCCAAAAGAACCCCTTAGAATCCCCCCTATTTTCGGAAAGGTTTAACCCTTCCGTTAGACTCCCTTCCATTTCTCACGAAGGCGACAACAATTTGCCGAGCCAAGTCTTCAAGTGTCACCAGGCTCGCCTACACCATGAACGCGGACGGCCTCAACGAGGCCCAAATCGCCTCCGCCTTGGTCTACGACCGGGGCGTCCCCGCCTACCCGGCCAGCGGCCCAGAGTTGCCATGAGCGGGCTGTGCGCGTGTGCCCAAGGGAAGTCCTTCAGTCAAACCATGAGTTGGTGGTTTAGATTGGTGTGGGGATTTGAATGATTTGGACACCTGGTTCTCTGTTTCTTGCGGAAGGTAAATGGGAAACAACCCTGAGCTTAACCACCAAGCCACCAATCCAAGCCAACAGGGAAAAGACACTGCTTTGGGGTCCTTTGTGGACACGTAGGTCCTGCGTGAATTGAGACGTGGGTTTGGCTTCAGCTAGGTCCCCCAGTAGTGCCCTTTTACCCTTTCTGGGGGGAGGGTTCCCCTACGAGAATAGACTGCAGACAAAATGGTACCCTTATTCTATCCTCTCTACTGGAGGACCTAGTCTGGGAAGCCAAGCTCTTGGAAGGTCCCTTGAATTGAAACGTGAGGTGTGCTTGCCTTTCTTGGTGGTTCCCAGCCATCCCCTTAGCTTTTTAGCCTTTAGTGTTTAGTGGGGATGTCCTTTTAACCCACTAAAAGTGAAACTTTTAGTGGGGGATCTGAGGACAGCCCAGTTTTGGTGAGTTTTGAACACACAAGCTTGAAGCCAATTGACGGATTGACCAGCGATAGCTAGTTTCGTTGCCATGGCACCAAATCTGGCTTAATCACGTGAGGGACAGCAGTGGATTGCCAGGAAGCTGTTCTGATTCTTTGCGTTTTGGGTACACACCTCTATTAGGTGAAAACTACAAGTCCTCCAACATGTGGCTGTGGGTCAAAGCCCTGTACCCCTGGTGATCATTTTTTTTGTTAAAAAAAGGGGAAACAAAAAAACGGCGGCAAATGGATGTTCATCCACCCCAAAATGGGATCGCTATGGTTATGCCCCGAGTCGTTGCACGCATGCTTCGAAGGTCTTGGTCACCAGAAAGCCTTTGTAACGCTCGAAATTCTTTCTGAGCATGTTCCCGTCAACCCTTCTCAGTGGTTCAGTGGCACCCATTCTTTTTCCATTGTTTTTTGGTGGCCCCCACTAAAAGTGGTCTTCCCCAAAAAGGGTTCCTTTTTTTCCAGGGTCACTGAACAACTGAGCCTTTCTTTGCTTAAACTTGCGTTTTGCCACCTCGCAGGCTCCACTCCCTGGAGCGCCGGCAAGGCTCCCCGGCTTCTGCTTCACTCCCTTCTTTCCTGTCTTCTCCCCACGCTCTTCTCTCAGCTCCTTTGCCCACGCTTGGCTGCGCTCTTCTCTCCGCTCCTATGCCCGCTCTTTTCTCCGCCATTCTCAGCCCTTCCCTTGGCTCTTTTCTCCACGCTGTTCCGCGCTCTTAAACCTTGTGCGCTTTGATTGCACTCTGCCGCGATTTTTGCTCACTGTTCCTGGAACTCGCGTTTTGCCCGGAGGACGCAGGGACCCGGGGCTGTTCCAGCGCTTTGGCTGCTGTTCCTTCTTCTTGCAAAGTTCCTCCCCAGCCGGCGTCGCCCTTGCTCAGATGCTAGATTTTGCTTGCTTCCCGTGGCCTTAAGTCTGCTTGCCCTTTGCATGAGGGCCTCATAAGTTTCATCAGCGCCCCTTGCCGCGTCTCCGTAGACTCCCCTCCATAGACTACCTCCCCCCGGACTGGTCGCAAGTTACAGAATATTCAACTCTTATCAAGTTTCACTTTGAGGTAGTGTTTTTGGTGAAACTCCGAAGTCTTCTGCAGCTTTTCCGGGTTCCAATCCAAAAGGTTTGAATTCTTTGGGATTCCCTGCAGAGACCAATTCAGTTGCTGCCATCACCCAGTCCCGTGCCAAAAAACCCGGAAGTTCAGACCCAGCGATGCGCCCCGATGCCTTTTGCCTTGAGTGGTTTCCCCTGAATCAACCGAGCTTGGGCGGTCGTTTGGTAGAGATCCGGAAATGCGGGGCGCAGGGAAGATGTGGGTTGCCCGGTTTCCCAGTGCTCCACGGGTTTTCCAGATGTTTTGCAGAACTCCCGGTCTTTGGGTCTTGTTTGCGCAGGCCACCAGTTTGGCCTTTTTGGACCTGGATCTGGTGCAGGGGGAGATCGGGGGCCTGGTTTCCATCGGGCGCGCGGTGGACGAAACTGCCATCACCAGCCTCGCGGCAAAGAGTTGGCTCCACTTTTTGACGACAGACTTGATCCCATGGGGTTTAAGGCAAAGGAAATCAACGAGGCAAGTCGACCTTGGGGGAACCCAGGCGTAAAACTTTGGAAATCAACCCCTGGGTTTGAGCCGACCTTGGGGTAGTTAAAAAGTAGAACCCTGTGGTCGACTCGGAAAACCGCGGAACCGCGGAACCGCGAAAGCCGAGTCGGGTTGAAGGTTCGTCTCGCTTCATTTGATGGACGTTTGTTGACACTGCTTGGTATGACCAATTGTGGAAGAGAAACAGTTTAGGGGACTTTTTCTTGCCAATCCACTCAGGAAGTGAGTAGCAAGGGATAGCCTTCGCCGCCTTGTGAATTCTTTACATGGTTCTGGGTGCACCATTTAGCACCGTTAGCACCGTTAGTACCAGGTCTTGATTTTATGACTCACCTGACACTCCGCTTAGGTAATATATACCAACATTTGACCCATTTGGAGGCTGAATGCACGGATTGGGAAGAAACCCCGGATGATTAGGGGTCGCCCTTTCGACTGGAGGGGAACACCCACCCCTCCTAAGATGGGTTGAATATAAATCCAGGATTAACATGACTACTAAGCGATCTTACATTTTTGCGGGTAGACTCATAGAACCATTTCAAGACATGAAATGCGCTGTGTACAGACATCCCCCCCCCTTTTTGTGGGCCAAGGTTCGGGTTTCCTAGTTTCGTAGTTTCTCCCCGTTTGGTTGCAAGGGCCTTTCCCTGTCCCGGACACGTTGCCATAAACAGATGCGGATTGCGGTTTAAATTCTTTACATGGGTTTGGGTCAAAATCAACCCGCAGGTTTTAGTCCATGCTTCCATTTACCACGGTTCAACACACAGCCAAATGGCTTTGGGTAGACTGCTTTACCGGGGTTTGAGAATTCAGGTGGTTGAGCTATGTTGAGCTTTTTAGAGAGCCATGCTTGATGGCCCGCCCGCAGTTCCGATTGACCTTTTGGTGCCTGTGTGGTTGCATGGCTTAGTCAAGCAACTGTCCTAGGCTTTCAATGTGTTCTGAGCCTTTTTGCCTTCTTTTCGCAGCAATAATGGACGACAGGGGCTTCTCTAAGGGGCCGGTCTAAGAAGAGAATTGGAAGCCCTGGTTCGGGGAGTTGTGCATTTCGACTAAGCTAAAACAACCTGGTGGTTCAGTCGGGCGCAGGCTGTGACTTGGATCCCCTCTTCAATCGCGATACCTTTTGAGTGTTGCTGTCGGTGTGCACAAAAGGACCATGTGGGGGGACCCCGAAAATTGTAATGCCCTTTCAAACCCACCCAAAAGGATACCCTCACAAATAGACACCCATTTAGGGGGCTTCAAGTTGTGCTGTCTTCAACTTAGGATTCTTGTCAGATGTGGTGGTTTATTTGGTAGGATGGCTTGGTTTGACAACATGTTTATTCGGAACAACCAAGTTCAGATGGTCTTGATTCCCCTTCTTATTGTGTTCCATTAGAACTTATTTGTATTTAGGGATTATGGGCTGAAGGGATCCAAGACCTTAGCCCAATTTCTCACTTGAGGCTTGGGAAGGCCATTTTTGATTGGCAAATACAAACTTAGTTTGAACTCTTTTAGCCATCTTTGGCAATTTTTCGTGGCAGAATGCCAACCTACTTTGGACTCGTGTCAGCCATGTTTAGCCGTTTTTTTCTGGGCAAAACACCAACTTTGGACTGAGTCCGATTTCGAGTTCTCCGGACCTTTCGTTCGTCAGGCTATGCCGTGTACTTTGCGGTGGCCGAGGAGGGGCCCCCAGGCCCTTGTACCAGGGCTTCGGTTTGCTTTTGAATTGTTTTGGGGGCAGGGGGACCTTGAGAACTTCACCGTCTTCAGGCTCACCAACTGAGGTTTGGTCGGGCAGAACCCGAGGTTGGGGGTCATGCATTCTAGGCAAGATTTTAGTATGTATCCTTCCTGCCACTACCATATGCTACCAAGGCACCTGACGGAGGGTCCCTAAGTGGGAGGAAGGGTATTTCGCCTTGGCAGTGGCCAAAAGTGAAAAATTGAGCGAACACATTCGGATTGGCAGAGGGTTATTTCCTCTATTCCCTCGGTTCAAACAACTTTCTTGGTGGGGTGATGGGAGGGGGGCACAACCCACTGGCTACTCTTGGTGCCAAGAACCGATTTACACCTGCTACATCCGGAGCCTTTAGTCGGTGGTTTGGATTTGGAATTTAAACGGTCCCTGGTTCTTGTTGAGAATGAGAAATCGTTCCCTGGCCATCAAGCCACCACTCCAAATCACCAACAAGAGGGAGCTGACTAGAAGTGCCCAGGGTGTTTTTCCCCCAATCCCAAGCCAGCATTCTCCGAAGAAGTTGGCCCCTCAGGCCCTGAAGAGTGCAGTTCACTTGGGATGATTCAGCCCTCGAAGCCACGAACGTGCATAGTCAATCCTCTGGATTCGCTGAATGGGCGTCACCCATTTTGAGTGAGAGGAGGCCGGATCGGGCCCCTCTGAAATATATCATGATTCATCTGGTGTGGGTTTGTTTGAGGGTTTGAGAGGCAAGCCAACACACAAAGCCACCATTTTAGCGGTCCCCCCTATCTTTGCCCAGTGTTGAATCCAAAGTGTCACAGAAGAATCCGCTTTCTGTGCACTGTGGGTAGGGCCTGGACCCTTCTCTGTCGAGGTCGGCTCAAGTTCTTTCCCTGCTTGGTGACCTATGGTTGTGGAGTTGCGGTAAATCAGTCCGGTCTTAAGTTCACTTCAGTTTGCGGAGCCTATTGAACCTACTAAAATAGACGGAAAAAGTTGGTACCCTGCTGGACATAGACTGTAGTGACTCAGAAGTCTTCGCCAGGTTCAAGTTGTCACTGCAAGAAAAGTATACCACCATTGACACGCACAACGAAGGTTTCCGCTACTCCCCCGCAGATTGTTGGCTGGTTCTCAGTAACATGGAATCAAAGAGCCTATCCACAGAAAACCTGGTGGCTCCCAGCCATCCGGTTTCTGAGCTTGTTCGATCTTTTTCGTTGGTTTAGAGCTTGGCTGTCCATTTAAGATCGTCACTAGCACTAAAAGTTCGTTGGTTGGTTGGACACCCACCAAAAATCGTCACTCGCAGGGGATCTGAGCCCATTTTTCGAGCCACAGATCCATCGCTCTGAAAACGCCAGGCCCATCCCTGGGCAGCGTCACGGCCAGCGGACAAGACGTCTTCGTCTTGGTGCCCACGGACACGGCGCCCCAGGCGGGACGAGTCCTCTTTGGCGGTCGTACAACGGGGGGGCGGTCTCCGTGTCTTCCATTTGGTGGGTCGCAGCCATCCGGTTCCTTAGCTTTGTAGATCTTTTTCGTGTGGATTGGCATATTTCACCACACTACAAGTGAAACTTTGAGCAGGGGATCTGAGGACAGCCCAGTTGCATTCGGTGCGTCTTTCTTGAACCAGCCCAGATTACAGGGCAAGCCAATTTTGAGAGCCCATGTGAGCTTGTTGAAAATTGAGGGATGCCAAGACAAGCACTTTTGCTGTTGGTTTCCTGGCAAACGAGGATTAAAAGGGTGCCCCCTAAAAGTCACAGACCAAATAAAAGATGGAAACTCCCGCTTCACTGTCCTTGTTTTTTTTTTTGGTTATTATATGGGTCGCCACAGAGAGCGGGCTGTGTCAGAAATGGGCTCTGGTTTCCCATTTTCCTCTCTAACCCCAAAAGAGGCACCGTGCAGTCGGCAAGAGTCAATCATGCAGTGTCATCTTGGGTAGCGAAATTCATGGGGGATCACCTGGGTCCAGGTCCATGGTATATACTTAGGGAGACCTTTGGGTCCAAATCCCGGACGAGGGGTCTTTTACCATGAAGCGATAACACAGCCAGCTACCAGGCTTAGCTGGAACTGGCTGGCCGTTTTGTCATAAACCGAGCAAGTTGCGCAAGCTTCCCTTGGCCCCAGCAAGACTTTTCGCGCATGTGCCCTTGTGCACATCACTGGTACATAATGCCAGGTTCCGTTTGTGTCATCCTTTTCGGGAGCTGTAGCATCACCTTGTGGGCCCGTGGCAAGGCACCCACAGGGCACCTGTTTCGGTGTGGATTCAGGAAAGCCAAGCAAAGCTTTCTTGGAAATGCCACCTCCCCGAAAACTAAAACAACCTCTAGCTCCCCCAGTAGTGCCCTTTCAACTTTGTTGGTTGGGAGGCTTTCCCTACTAAAACAGACTACAGAAAAAGTTGGTACCCTAAACCCTATCCTCTCTACTGGACCTGGACCTTTTTGCTTGAGTCGCCTTTTCCCCTGGCCCTTGCTGAAGGGCTTTTGGGCTTGGAACAGGTGGGGTATCCCTACCTCATCGTCCGCAGCCGAAACGCGGATGGGGAGATGGCCACAGGCATCGGCCGCTCGATGTGGAACTTTGATGTGGCACAGGAACGAGCGGCCGCCTGGTTTCTCAGGCCAGTCCTACGGCACCTGGCCCCAGGAAACCCTCCTGAAACCCTCCCTGAAAGCCTGAAAGCCCCAAACCATCCACCCCAATCGCACTTGCAAAATGGAAGGTGCGAAGTGGCAGGCAAAACTTCAATAAATCCGAACTCCAGCGCTGTTTAACAGGTCCTACTGGAAGCATCCCATTTCTTGGCTTGACCGCGAGACATGCTGGCACGAATAAAGCGCACAGGTTCTTGTTCTATGCGGGTTCCATTGCTTGAGGACAGTAACGGGAACCCATTTGTGATCGAGCCCATTTAGGGTCACCCAATTTGCTGGAGTCCTTTTTTGAATGATATCACAATTGAGCTTCAAGTGCGGGCTATCAAGGATATGATCTGTTGGGGGCCAAACTGAGGTGTTGGGTGCTTAAGTTAGAAAATCGAATGGTTGCGGTGCCTTGATTCCTGTCCCTATGAATTCTCCGAAAACTCGGCCCACTATGGTCCTCCTTTGAAATCTAATTCAACCAGCCCCAAACCGGGTACCCTCCCTAAGGTGGAATCCACCAGAAGATCCCTAGAAGACGGCATGAAGCCTGTGCAAGTCAGAGTGTCAGAGTCCATGGCCACGTAGCCTTTAGAGTCGTTGGGTTGAAGGGAACGCGGCGGAAGCCAAGCTTGCTGCTTCCATGCCAAGGCCTTGTTTTTTGTTTGGAGCAACGAATCCTGCCCAAGTTTGGAGGCTGGTTTTCCTTTGAGGTACACCAAGAGTACAGAAGGTGTCCAAAAGGCTGGGGCCCCAAAAAAGGATGGCGCCGAAGCTAAATCGTGTCGAAAGCCATGGGCTTGAGAATAGGTTTCAACCAAGCCCTGATCTCAGTTGTTCAGTGGCACCCTTTTTCCTTTTTTGGTGGCTGCCCCACTAAAAGTGGTCTTCCCCAAAAAGGGATCCCTTTTTTTCCAGGGTCACTGAACAACTGAGTGATAGTCCACAGATGGACCAGACGAATAGATGAGAAGTTACACGTAGCGTTTCCTATGGGGGGGGGGCACCCCTTTGTTTGTCGAGATCAGTTGTCTACCTGGATAGCATCCCTGAAGAAGAAAACGCTAGTTTTGGGCATCGGCTACTAACTATTTCGGAGACGGCCGTTTGGATGGGAAAACTGTGTGAAAACACAGCCCGAATCAGCTGGGTGTTGCAAAACTCTGCAGGGCCGTAGCCGACCGTTTGGTTTCACATTCAGAAAGCAACTAAGAAGAGGTTCCCCAATCATAGGACAATAGGAAACACCCCAAAATGGAGCCTCAATGAGGATTTATCCCATCAGAATTCACTCGCCGAATCAATCAGAACCCGATCCACTGGGAACGAAACAATTCCTTTTGTAATCAACTAAATGGCTTTGAGCTTCGCCCAAATATACTAGCTGGTCCAGAATGGGATGTTGCGGGTGATGGCCGCTGACTCTAGGGTCTGTGTTTTGACCCTTTGGGCTTAGCTTCTTCTATTTGCTTAAGAATACATGTTATTTTCCCCTGTTGGTTTTTAAGGGAATCTATCACACTGGACATGTTCTTTCATTTTTCGCAAGGGGCGAAACCGCAAATGGCAGGCTCTGTTTGGGCCAAGGCATTCTGCTGGTGGATCGCTTTGTCCCCGTGGACCCGGCGCAGTCGATTTCTTTCCTAGATGAGGACTTGAGTCTGGGAGGCTTGACTGCTATTGGGCAACGGATCGGGGACTTTCACTTGTTGGTTAAAATAAAGGTGTTTTCCACTAAACCTCCCAAAAAATAAAAATAAAAGAAACAACAGAAAAAAGAAAACAACATGGTTGAAATGAGTCGTGTTTTCCACTAAGCCCCCAAAAAGTGGTCCACTTTTTGCACGGGGGTCGTTGCAGCAACCAAGGAGTGATCGGGGGCACCATCGAGATCGGCGCGGCGCTGCTTGAGACGGAGATCTCCAAGTACCTCACCCAGAATCGGCTCCCTTTTCTTTTGTTTCTTGCTTTTTTGGGGGGATTTCTATGTTTTCCCCTAACCAGGCCAAATAAATATCTCTCGTTTTTTGCCGGGGTCCTCTTCCCGAGGTACGGCATCTACTGGGCGGACGCTTCCCAGCAGCCCATCTCGCTGATCGCCGAGCTGGCGCCCGGGGACTACAACTACAGCGTGGCCCTTGGCACCGCCAAGCCCAGCCAGGCGCAGTACTTGCTGGTGCTCACGGGGAACGAGCCATGGCCGGGCTTGAAAAATGAAACAGCTGTTGCCTCCTTTTGGGGGTTTCCTGGAGTTGTCCCGTCTCACCAACCAAAAAAAAACGCGCTTGTCTTTTGTGTGTGTTTGTTGTTTTTTTTTTGTGTGTGTGTGTGTGTGTTTTTGTTGTTTTTTTTGTCGGTTTTTGTCCTTTGCAACTAGCGAGTGAAGCGTTTGCAGCTCAGGAACACGGCTACATGAGCTCCGGGGCGTCCACCGCTTTGGTGGACCGCGCTTATCCGGTGAACCTGCCATCCCAGATCCAGTTTGATGATGCGGATATGGATGCTGGGCAGATCGGTGGCTCACTTACGGCGACTGGATGGCGTTTGGTACTTTGCAGATTAACATGAAACACAACCATGATGTATAGAGGAATCTCCTTTTGTGGGGAGGGGGCCTTTGTTGGCGTCCAAGTGAAAAATGAAGCTAGGAGTAATATATGTAAGTATCTTCGCCGGCAGAAAGGAACAACAGATCCTGGGTTTACACTGTAAGTTGGGGTTGATATGAAGCCTTAAAGTGGATGAACAAAATCAATGATGAAAAAGATGGTTTAGGTTTGAATGTTGAGCACTCCAGTCTTAGCAGCATCTTTGGATCTGCCAATGTCAAGTGAGCTTCCTTTGGCGCGTCATTCAAAGGTTGGGGATATACCCCCCATTCTGCAGATGAACATATGCCCGCCCCCGCAGAAAAATAAGACTCCCTTTTGAAGAGGAGTCTCCTTCTGGGTTGACCCCAAATCAAGGCAAGGGACCTCTTTTGGGTTGACCCCTTTTGGGTTCCATGTCAAAGTGCAATGGAACTTGGGGAAAAAAGTGAGGTGATGAGGGCCAGCGACGAGACGGATGTCACGTCGTACACGGCTTACTATGGCTCCTCTGCCGCCTCCGACTCCTCCGCACAGGTGGGGTGTCTCAAGAGTATATGGCTGTGGGTCAAAACCAATGCTACCATTTTGGGGTAGGTGCACCACCCATTTTAGAACCTATTTTAGTGGGGATTGGGATGTTCACCCATGGCCATGTGGTTGATTTCCTTTTCTTGGTGGCTCCCAGCCATCCGGTTCCTTAGCTTTGTAGATCTTTGTAGTTGGCTTGATTATATAGTGGTTTGGTTTCCATTTAACCCACTAAAAGTTAGTCAAACCGAAAAGGGGTTCCCCTAAACAAATAACCAGCCAGCCCCCAAAAAAGGGATTCCCCCAAAGGCGTTTGTCCACCGAAAAGGGGATCGATCCCCGCAAAAGAGAGAGGATCTTCCCCATTCTTTCCAGGGATCCTTCGTTTCAGGAAACCATCAAAAACCCAGGTTGGAAGCAGATCCGGTTTTGGAAAATAACGATGGTTAAAAATAATGGAAAAGGAATAAGCTCAGGCGATATCCCCAACAGCACCACACCCGCCCCGGGACCCACCTCACCCGGTTTTGCTGAGGATGCCGCCTTGTAAATTTGTGAAGCAAAGCTAAGAGTGACAGCGCAATCGCGCCCTGATCGGGGCCCGACGGCACAATCGGGACCCGATCGGGGCCCGACGGTGGAATCGGGGCCCGATCGGGGCCCGATGGTGCAATCGGGGCCCGACGGTGGAATCGGGGCCCGAGTGGGGTTCGACGGTGCAATCAGGCCCCGACTGGGGCCCGATAGTCTGAAAGCGGGCTCCCACCAACCCCAGCCACCCATATTGTAGCTGAACACCGGTTTTGCGGCCTTGCAAGTGTATCTAGCAAAACTAGGCGATACCGGCTTGGTAGTTGATGGGGCCCGATCGGGGCCCGACGGCGCAATGGCGGCCCGATCGGGCCCCGACGGTGCAATCGGGCCCCGACCTGCCCGACTGGGCCCGGTGAACCTCGCAGACCGTTCTCGTGGAACCTCGTAGGCTCAGCGTGAAACTTTGTTGGAACCTGTCCTCAGGGCTGCCCCATAGCTTTTGCAAAATGTGGTGGAAACCTCGTGGAGCGCTTTTGGAATTTTATTCCGTAGCCTCGCAGCTTCGTGGAACCCTTGGAACCCAAAAGCCCACTAAGTAGTACTCAGTAATGCCAAGCGTTTGCTCTGCTACACAGTGAGTTTGCCACAAAGCTCTCGCGTTGCCTGAGCAAGTGAGCAACTGACAACACAGTGAAAGTGCGCAGGAAAAACCATTGATTTCGGTTTTGCTTAGTGTTCCGCCCATGAGCAAAGCGATCTTCTGAGCCCTCAATTTGCTGCTCCGATGGCTTTTCAGACGGCGGGGGCGCGACACATTGCTTCCTTGCAGAACATTTGTGGAACTTGTCGAGCGTTGTGGAGCCTTGTGACCCTTGTCGAATCCTTGGAACTGCTGTGAAACCCTTACCTCAGCCACAGCCCGTGGAACCCTGAAATCTTCATGGAACCCCCGCAGCCTTGCTACAACCTTACCTTGGTCGACCCTCATGAACCACCCCAACTACCCCGTAGCCCTTGCAGAGCCTGGTGGAACCCTGGGAATTGCCTCAAACCACCCTTGCAGAACCTGATAAAACCCTGGTGCCTCGTGGAACCTTACGTTGAACCTGGTGATTTTGGGGGAACCTGACCTCAAAACCTTGGCGAAACTCTCGTGGAACCTTACCCTTGTCAAACCACCCCCAGCCCTCGCAGAACCTGGTGGAACCCTGGCGGAACCCTTGGGGAACCTTACCACAAACCCACCCCCAGCCCTTGCAGAACCCTGGCGGAACCCTTGTGGAACCTTACCACAAACCCTCCCGGACCACCCCGCAGCCCTTGCAGAACCCTGTGGAACCTTGGTGGAACCCTGGTGGAACCCTCGTGGAACCTTAGCTCAAACCACCCCACCCTGGAACCCTCGGAGAACTTTACCTCAAACCACCCCGCAGCCCTTGCAGACCCTGATGGAACCCCTCGTGGAACCTTTGCAGAACTGTTGGACCCTCGTCTCGTGGAACCTTACCTCAAACCACCCCGGACCACCCCGCAGCCCTCGCAGAACCTGGCCTGGTGGAACCCTCGTGGACCTTACCTCAAACCACTCGTAGAACCTGGTGGAACCCTGGTGGAACCCTCGTGGAACCTTACCTCAAACCACCCCGGACCACCCCGCAGCCCTCGTAGGGAACCCTCGTGGAACCTTACCTCACACCCCGCAGCCCTCGCAGAACCAGGTGGAACTCTGGTGGAACCCTCGTGGAACCCTCGTGGAACCTTACCTCACGGCCGCCCCGGACCACCCCAGAGCCTATCTGGGCTGAGACCCCAAAGCTTTCAGCTGTTGGGGAAAAAGGAATCAACCCCTAGATATTTTTTTGAGGTTTCTCTTTACCAACAAGAGGTTCCCCGAAAGAAGGGATTCCCCCCAAAGGCGTTTGTCCACCGAAAAGGGGATCGATCTCCCAAAAAACGACATGATACACCCCAGGTGGCGCTGATCGGCGAGATCTTGGTGGCCAGTTTGCCCAGCGGCAGCACCTCCGCGGTCTTCACCATTCCCATGAACACCGCGCCACCAGGAGCCGTGGGAGTTTTCAACCAGCTTCGTTGCAACCTTCATTTCCGCCTCGCTGCAACCCATGCGGAACCTAGGGCCGGCCTCACGATGTAAGACCCTGTGCCTGGGCAAAAGGCCAACATCACCTCAGCAACATGCAAGAACCCCTTGTGAGGTTTCCGGCACAGTTTCTGTTGCACCAAAGATGCAAAGCCTTAAAGCAAGACAAATGACACCTGGTGTTTTTTTGAACTCAACCTGCCAGTTGACTAACACCCCCCGCCCAGCCCATTTCGTCACTCTGCAGGCGCCAGCTATTTCTTGGGCTTCAGCAAGAACAGTCTGGGGGAGAGCCTCTCGGGCATCAGCGCCTCCCTGGTGGATAAGACTAACTTCTTCCCCACGGTGGCGGCGCCGCGCCGCAAGCGTCGGTCGAGAGTGGGCGTCCAGTTTCTCGCGGGGTGCAGTCCTGTTGGTTGCATGCTGAGCAGGTCGCGAAATTGCTGTTGGCGCGGCTTCTCCCGTTTGTCCACAATTTGGAGAGGATGCCGGAACATGTTTGCTTCATTTGCCAGTGAGTTTCTGTTGACATGCTGGTTTCCCATTGACATTGTTCATGTTTAGCTTCGTCTTCGCATCCCAGACGACTCGCCTGTTTTCTCCGTTTGGTTGCAAGTCTAGCCAGAAACATGCTTGTTGAAGATACGAGGCATGCCCACCCGTCGTCCCGTTTCTTCGCGTGTTTAGCCAACCAAATAAATATGACCTTCGTATATGAAGTGGACACACAGTTCATTATGATAACTGTCCCAGTACATATGTATATATATATATATGTATGTACACACGTGGTGGCATTAGCAAATATGTTACCTGTTAATGTGTGTACTATTATTGGTGATTATAGTAAAATGTGTTTTTTGATGTCAGCGTTTGGAAGAACAAGAAGATAATTTTGTGAAAGATAGATATTTGCCGGATGAAGGGTTGGAAATAGCCGAATTCCAGTTATTATGTTTTAGACAAATGTCTAACAAAGTTTGCACATTGACATTAAACAATTGAAACACACCAATCGATACGATATATTATTCCCTAATCTTCACACTTGGTGGGAACATAGAAAAACCGTTATTATAGGAGATATATCATAGTAATTCAGTTGAAATTTACAAAGACCTATTAATGAAAGGACATGAACATTAATTATTGCAGTCAAGAAGGAATCTTGAATTATTCGAATGGAGTTGCTATTGAAATTGAATATGGAAGAAACCAAACAGTTGGTTCATCGTATTATTTAAGAATAATACGATTAAACATCATTTTATAAACTAACAAGAAGGTTCAGACATTTGGATTAAACCTGAAACCCAATTTCTCCAACCAGCAACCCCCAGCCCAAAACTGCTTGAAGAGAAAACACCACATGTAGCAAAAGAAAAATGAGTGAGGGTCAAATGTCGGAGAATAATTTTATGGTTGAGAATTGGACTAATTTGCCTGAAGTTTTAGTGTTGAATATCGCTTCATGCACGTTTGGTATGAAGGGTGGCATAGACTGAAACAGTATGAGACATTAAGAGATTTGCAAAGGAAATGGAAACCTTCAATTTGTAATGATATTGTTGGACAGCGTAAGACACCGGAAATGTCAATCAAACAGTATTACCACGAGATACACGACAAAAAGTTAAAAGGCAGTAAGGCGTTTGTATATGCATTGAACCCATCAGACAAATTCATGAAACTATATAACAATATATGGCGATACAACTAAGATTGAAATGTATGTTAGAGCAAAATGTTGAATATGACACTGGTATCAGAACATGTAATTTTCTCCAATCAGCATAGCATGACAAGTAAAGTGGAACTACATATTTCAACTGAGAAGATGGTAAGGAACATAAAGAGCTCAATAAGATTAAGCAATGCGCAACTTGTGATGATAGACTTCATTAAGTTTGAAATTTACAACAATACCACAGAAGAAATTTGATCTAGTTTACTCGTATTACTTAATTGTAATATGATTAAACTTTGTAAATCTCCATAACCATTTATTGTACTAGAATCTTGACCTACAACAATCTTTCAACAACAAAAACAACGTCAAACAGAATACCCGTCCAACACGCCAGACCATGCAACAACCAAAAGCCACGACTTCTCCAAATTGAAGAAACCCGACTCCCCAGCCCGACAATGAAACAGGCTACCATTTACCCAAATGACCACTTCTAACAAAACGATATATCAGCTCCCCAAATCATCTCTTTAAAAGAAACAATGAGGGGAACACAGATTGAGAACAACAATAATAACAAAAACTGCCAGCACACAACGAGGGGAACACAGATTGAGAGCAAACAAAAAAAAACAAAAAAAACTGCCAGCACACAACAGCCCACCCACTAGCTAGCCCCTGTTTGCTCTTTTTGTTTTGCAGGGGGCTGGCCAGGGCAAGTGCCCTTACTTGTGGATGCCTTAATTCAGGCTGGGGAACTTGTAGTCATTCTCCCCCAAAAGTGGGACCCTTCAAGAAATTGGCAAGGTTATATGGAAACAGGTCTCTTGTTCCCTGAAAATCCTATACCCTATAGTTCAGTTGGCACCCTGTTTCCGGCCTCATCTGCCAGTTTTCATCCTCTTCTCTTTTCTGACAAAGTTGGGGAGTTTTCTACCCAGCGGCACCCATTTTTGCCTCACCCGGAACCATGTGAATACCAGGCGTTGGTTCTGACTCACTTGGAGTCTGCAGCCCATGTGCAGGGTCACTTTCAGGCCTTCTTGTGAACATTCCCGGAGCTTGACAGCTGCACGAAAAATCCTAGATTTTGTTTTTGGCCAAGTTGCCCACACATGGGCTTCTTGGTTTTCCCCAAGAAGCCAAAGGGAAACCAAGGATTTCGGGGGGGGGGGCCGGGGGGTCGTTTTCTGCTGAGGTGAGCAGCGTGGCGTTTGTGGACGCCGACCTGTCCTCGGGCCTGGTGGGTGGCTCGGTGACCTGGCTCGCGCCGGCGGACACCGCGGGGCTCACGCAGTACACGGTGGTCTTCGCGCTGGATGCCGCAGGCGGTGTCGTGTTTTTGCTCTTTCTTTCGATTTTTCTCGGGCGGAGATCAAGTTGGTTGGCGTTTTTGTTTTTTGTTATTATTATTTTTTCTCGGGGAGGGGGGTTGAGTTGGTTGGGCGCAATGTTGGGGGCATTGGGTTCGGGTGGGGAGTGCTAGGATGTTCAACCCACTTAACTATGACCTATGACCGTTGACCATGGGTCGTGTGGCGGTACGGTGGATGGGCATGCACCAAACGAGGAATTTGGAACCCAAAGTGGTGCTTGTCATTTCGGGGCTCCCTGAAACCAATCTAAGAAGGCTACAAGTTGGGGGAACACGCGAAACCCTCTGATGCGCCGCAGATCGCTGGAATTTGCCGGGGTTTGTGGTAATGGAGACCCACCAAGAATCCCCCATACCTAATACCAGGCGCACAATTGTATCCTCCAAAAGGGGCCACTGCTTTGTCACCCTGTGCCTTTTTCAGCCTAAAATAAGAACGGCGACCTCCGTTGGGATAGCAAAGAGGAAGCCGAAAGGAACCCATTCACTTTCGGTTACTTTCGTGGGATCTCTTGTGAGGTTCGCTAAAACTGGACCAGCATCCAAAACCTCCTGTTGTGGGTTGGGCAACTGTTGAGGATATTAGTGGCCCCTTACCTTAAGGTTGCACCTAAAGCCACGTGTGTTGAAACGACTACCCGAGTGTCGTTGCCATGTGGGTACGGGTCAAAATTAAACCACCAGAAAAACCGCAGGTTTTAGTCCTTGGTTCCATTTACCAGGCTTCCCTGTTATACCTATTTTTGACCCACAGCCATGGCTTTCAGGCACCGGACGGCATCCCATCTGCAGCGTGGCCATCGGCACACACAGCTGCGTGGTGCCCCTCAGCACGTCTTTGTCCGCCGGCGGCGGGAGCTTCGCCTACGTCATCGTCTTCACCAACAACGGCTTCGGCGAGGCTGGGGAGCCATGGACAAAGCCATGTCCCAGAGGCTCCCGATGTATTTAGGGCCCTCAAACAACCAGGTCTTGAGACCCCCAAACACCGATTCCTGGCGTGTCTAATGGAGGGGTCGGGTCTTCCATTGAAAGCCCCAGAACCCTCTCAGGTTGAAAAATCCCAACCCTGCCCCAAAACCGTAGTGCCAAATGCTCGGCGTCCTCGTGGACGACATCTCCGGAAACCTCACGAGCGCCAAACTGCCCCTTCCCCTCTTACCCCGACACGGCGCACACTTCGCCAGCTCCAGGGTATTGAATGTCATTGGTGTCGCCCTTTTCTTGCTCGTGCTCGAGAATGAGGAAGGCACCTGGGGATTGAGTTGAAGGAAACCACCTGAATGGTTTATTGCTCATTCCATCTCGAACTCCCTGCTCTCGCAGTCGCAACTTTTGACCAGGGCCCCGGGCTCGCAGCGGGGCTGACGGACCGCGCCCTGCCGGTGGCGGTCGCGTCGGGCCTCAGCTTCCCGGACACTGATGTTGCCGTGGGAAGCGTGGGGGGCACCGTGACTTGGACGCCTCCGGGCAATCCCAGCGGCGCCACGCAGTTCACCCACTACCAGACTCTCTGCCTGAGGTGCTAAGGAAAATCCATTTTATTTATTTATTTTATGTACGTGTTTTTTGTTGTGGGTTGTGTTCTCAACAGAAAGAACGAAATATGTATGGCTAGAAAGACCAGCAACCAGGAAAAAGTGTTTCTTTCCAAACGCTTTGTTTGACACTCAACAAATGCCGACCCTTTTGGTATTTAGCTGTAGGTTTGGCCCACTGCTATGCTTGACATATGATTTCCGATTGCTTTCGGGGCGAGGATTTACCTGGCCGGAAGTTCGAGCGCAGCCAACGTGCTGCTGGGGCAGGTGGCTGCTGCCCGGTTGTCCAGAGGCATATTTGTTCGTGGTTGTGCAAGTTCTTCTGAAGTGTCTCCAAGCAACGCAAGACTGCAGAAGCCAAATCTATTAGATCAATTCCATTGTATGACAATTGCTGATTCTTATATGTACACAAATGCCTCTAGCTAGCTCAAAGAGCAAAGTCCAATGTTTTTGGTTTTTTGGGGGGCCGTTTGCAAGATCCACATTTGGGGGCCCTTTGTTTTTCGTTTCCTGGTCCTCAGGTTGGCACCAACAGCCTGGTGCTCGCGGATGGCCAGGTCTTGGGCAACTTTTCCCAGGTGGCTGCGACCCGTATGGAACTAGAGCGGCAGTGCCTCTTTTTGGGTCGGTTCTGTGTATTGGTTGGTTCATGTTAAGCAACTAGGTCCCCCAGTAGTGCCCTTTTACTACAGCAAAAAGGGTACCCTTATTCCAACCTCTCTACTGGAGGACCTAGGCAAGAAACAAGACGTGAGTTCTCGTGTTTTTTGCCAACAAAGCACAATGCCGCCAAATTAAGGCAGCGCCACTTAGAGACGCCAACAAAGCCCAGAAAGCCCCGGAACCTCCCCCAAAAAAAGCCCCGAAAAATTGGCGAAGTGACCCCCGCTGGAAGAAGCAAACACGGGGTTGGTGTTCTTTTGCACCCCTTTCCTTTGTATACATATGTATATATATATATCATATATATGTGTGCGTGCTTGTTGATTTAAATCAGCCGACTGAAAGAAGCCACCAACACAAAAACAGCCCAACCTTCGGAACCCTTCCGGCACCCTACCCCAGAGCGTCTCCAAAAGCAAACCTAGGTCATAGGTGTCCTTTTTGGTTGATTTGGTTGAAACATAGAGGGCCCTTTACCTGGTGGTTCAATCAATTACCGGGGAAATCCACCCATTGTCCCAAAAAGGGGCCACCTATGACCTACTGTGGATGGACGAAATCCTGCACCACCTAAGAAACCCTGGAATGATGATTATTCTTTAAATACCAACAAACAATGGTTTCCCATGGTTTCCGAGTGGTGCAGGATTTCGTCCATCCGCAATAGGTCCACTTCTTGCCTCAGCCTCTCCGGTTGCAAGGTATACACCTGGAACTCTGCAGGGGAGGCCTCGGCGGGCACCTACGCCCCAGTCACGGACCGCTTTTTGCCGCCTGAAGGCTCGATGGCTGGCTCAACAAACCGGAACACCAAAATGGCGCAAGCCCCGATCGGTAAGCAAGGGGCGATCCCGGCCATAAATGGGTGTGGCTCAAAAAAACGGTGCCAAAAAGGAACCCTGGTAAGTGGAAACATGGACCAAAGCTCCTGCGGTTTGCCCCTCCGATCATGAAACAAATTGATTGCCACACCCCAAATCGGTGTTTGAAGGACCAGGCTTTGGTAGGGGCAACAAGCGAAGATCATGGAAGCGCACTCCCTTTCCAGAAGGACAGTCGTCTTTAGGGCCGGACTGCACTTCCATGGTTGGTGGAAGGATGGGTAATGAAATACAATGACTAACATGTTGCTCCTATGATCATGACCTACTGCGGTTTGACAGTAGCCCACCCTGTTCCAATTGTTATTCAGGCCCTTGTAATATGTTCTTGAATGTTCTTGATCATTCCTCACGAGTTGCCAAGTTGGTTCTTTTTGCAGCAAATCGCAAACAACCAACTCTTTATTATTAAAGATGATATGTTGTGTAGGGAAGCCCAAGTTGGCCCCTGATATTACGTAGAGCATTCTCTTCCACAGGAAGAACACAAAATCCAATCAATAAACCGTTCCTCCAACAGAACAGGGCTTGCACTGGGTGTTTGGAAGACGAATTCCTCTGCAAGGACATCTGCGGGCCACGCTGTAAGGAGGGAGGGCAATATCAGGGCCTGAATAAGCACACACATTGTCCTACGAGCATGAACGGCCCTTTGGGTAATATCATCTTTTCGGAGGGGCCTTCCCTTTAAAGTCAACTACACTCAAAGCCAGGAAATCCACGGCCACCTGATCTTTGGGAGGGGCAACTTCCCTTTGAAGTTGAAGTCAATCACACTCAGAGCCAAATCCACAAATTTTGTGGGAGGGGCCTTCCCTTCAAAGTCAATCAAAGCCTCTGGAAATCCCAGGGTCACCTAAACATGGAGGGGATGTCCTTCCCTTGGAAAGTGAGTCACACTCAAAGCCCCCGGAATTTCCAGGGGTCGCCTGACGGATCGATCCCCACCAGGTGTCTTGAACCTCTTCTTCTGGGACCAGGACTTTACCGTGGGCGAGATCGGGGGGGATTTGGCGTGGCTGGAGCCCGCGGACACCTCCTCCATCACGCGCCCTGCAGGAAATTGGCCACACGGAACTGGTTCTCCCACTAACATGGCACCTTGACAGAGACCCGGTCCCTCCAAGGGGAGTTTGATCTTGAAAAGTTCCTCTCCCACAGGTGCCATGTTAGTTGGAGGGAGGGTACACCCCCCGCTAGTGTCAGAAAAAGCCCTCAAACGGGGATGAGTGGGGGATGATTTTGGGGCTAGGAGCCGAGGTAGAGGGTTGGGAGATGTGCCCAGCCCTCGCCCAGTGCTTCGGAGGCGTTTCACGAAGACACTTACACACCTTGGTGCAGCAAACCAAGCTGCAGGCCCTGGAAGCTCAGCACGGTCGAACAAGAGCTGGTAGCAGACGTCCACTTGCCCACCAGCTCAACGCATGTGGACTTGGCGCGCCTCCAGGAGGAGACCCTTTCTCCTTCGAGACAGTCCAGCTCTGCGCGTGCAACTTTGGCTACAACGCACGCTGCACAACCCGCGCCTTGGGCCCCGGCCGCGTCCTGTGGCCAAGAGGACGCCGCTGGCCCTCTGGCTGAAAGGCCGCAAATTCCAGCTACAGGCCACGGTGCGCTGTCTAGGTGAGAATGCCAAGTCGGGGCGCTACGTTACCTTTGTTCCCCTCGACAAGGGCGAGCAGTGGCTATCGTACAACGACAACAACGTACAAGTGTGCGAGCCACCGCCGCTCAACAACACGCACTCTCGCCTGCTCTCCTACGAAGCAGCACAGCGCGCGGGCATGCTGCCGGCGCTGTGGAGGGGCGCAGAAGACCGCTTGCCTACAGGCGCGCTCAGCGCCCGCCAGGAGGCCGGCGCGATACGACGGCGGAGACCGAGCCGCGCCAGTCCAGCTGCAGCCTCAGCACGCAGAAACGCTTGCTGTTGAAAACGAATGCCGGCAGGCAAAAGTGAACTCCCCGTCAAAGACCGGAGAAGACCACTGCCCGATCCCCAAGCCAGATATTCAATGCGCGGCGCTTCAAACTCTTGCCAAGGCAAAGATTGCGCAACACGCGCTGTCAAGGAAGAGAACGGTGTTAAAGAAGGACCAGTCGGAGACCCATCTCCGCAAGCTCACGGCATCCGGCCTTGAAAGCCGACGTCGTCGGGCAAAAGCGAGGGCATGGGCAAGGAATCAAAGGCTAGCGCAGGAGGGCTCTGTCTGAGACCCACCCCCGCAAAGTCGCTCGCTTCGCACCGATTTTGCGCAGGCAACGACGAAGATGACCGTCCGCTTAGCGCGCTCCCGGCTGCAGACTTCAAAGACGATGGCCGGGCGCTTTGAGAATCCTTCTACAGGGGGCGCACTGCTCCCGACAGGACGAAAGGGAGCGCCGGCCAAGCGGAAGCGGGCAACGTTGCGTGCAAAAGTCCGCAGACTTCAGCCGGAGCCTTACTGCCTAAAATTCTGCGCGATGGCGCGCGATAACTGCATTTCTTTGCGCGAAGGCTAGAGAACCCTCGGAAGGCTGACTTTGAACTTAGCCATGCTAGATGATAATCTTGTAGGAAGGGGATGACATGGACAAGCCCCCCCAGAACCAACCATGAGTTCGCCACTTCGTGGCTGCAGATTCCCAAACATTGCAAGTAAACCTGACCAAACACGGTTTGCTTCTTCAATGCTGCAGGTAGGCTGTTGATGGCTGTTGCCCGGCAAATTGGCGCATGTGTCAAAACTAGGGGCCATAGATGACATGTTCGGTTGGTAAAAAACAGAGACGAGCACTGGTTTAAGACGACTTCTAATCATTTCACCCAAGAATGAGGGGCTGGTGTGACGCCATTTAAACGCGGCCAGGGTCTTGTCATGTTTAAACACAAGGGATGTTTAAGCATCAGCTACGTTTAAACGGTTTCAACATCCCCGTGGCCCCTGTTGGCGTCATGTGCTTCAAAGCCATCCAACATGGCTTCCAGTTGCTTTCACACCGAGTCATTGGAGAGCTAGCAGTCAAATTTGGGTTTGCCCAGGGTTGCTCCGTGAAAAGATGGCCAGGCCTCAAGTTCTATTCACATAGCACCAAGTTGGCTTTGGCTCTTCCAAGAGCGTGATTTCTTTCCCCCTCTTCGTTTTGAAGGGAATCTAGCACTGCTGTTTTCTTGCGTTTTCCAGGGCACATAAGCAAATGGGTGGGTTTCTTTGGGTTTCTGCAACACGGGCATTTAGAGGCTCATCAGTTGATGCCATGCATGTAGATTGTCCAGACATCAGTCTTGACCCTTCCGCAGCTGAAGGGCCCTTTTGCTTGTAGCCGAGCCAGACATTGGCCACGACCCCATAGTCAGTCAGCTGCACAGGCGGCTTGAGAGGAAACAAGGCTTGGCGCCATTCGCTCCCCGCGCTACTCCCGCTGCATTGGTAGCGGAGCAGGAGGCAACGATTCAGTGCTTCCTGCTGAGCCCGATCAAGTGCACCAAGAACGTTCAGGAACGTGTGCACAGCTACTTGACCGCCTCAAGCCTAAATCTCTAAGAGACTCTGATCTTTGACTGCGTCGAGCCCTTTGGTACGACCCAGGAAAAGATCATCGCTCAGGACTTCAAGATTGGCACGTTCCCGGACGGCGAAGTAGTCATGGACAATGAATTCAGGTCTGACCATCTTCCATCCTGGGATGGTCAGGCGCGATCATGGCGCAGGTACTATACAAGGAAGTGGCCTGGTGCGCACAGTCAACACCAGCCCACAAGCGCAGGTACCTGGCGGCAAAGCTCATAGGCCGACTTCGGGGTCCCGCAAGGCTCCTAGCCATGTCATGGTCAAGGGCTGACTTTGATCATGCCGATGGAGTACTTCAACTGCTTCAACGACTTGCGGCCTCGCCCCTCGTCAGGAAGTCGTTACCGAACGCCGCGGCAATCATGCAGCAGTATTTTTCCTTCAAGAGGAATCCCGGCGAGGGCATCGGCAACTTCCTGGTGAGGGAGACTCTCGGCTATGAGGAGTTCGTGGAGGCTCTTCTTCGCCTTCACGAAGAGTCTTCCGGTGTTGACCAAAGCCGCAAGGACTTTGGCCTCCCTAAGAACATGGATTCTGGTTGGGATGAATGGGGCGAGTCCTGGTCAGATTGGGACTATCAGCCCGTCACCGAAGAGATCCCCCCTTCCGAAGGAGAACAAGCTCCCGAAGCACCTGGAGACGTGTCCGGTCTCTCAGGAACTGCCGCACCTGGATCTGCTCCCAGCCAGAACCTAGCCCCGACGCACAAGTGCACGGAACACCTGGCCGTGCTTCAACCGCCACCAACCGGGGAACTGGGCAAGCAACCCCCACGGGCGCTGGCTCCACTCTCAGGTGTGCGATCTCAGGCTTCAGTACATCCCAAGACAAGGATCCCCGAGTATGTCTACCATAGTGCCCAACCACGTGATGGTCAACCGGGCCATGGTGGAACTACAACAACTTCTACCTGGCCGCATGCCCACTGCCCAGATCTGCAAGGCCATGTTGGACAAGCTGGTAGCCGAGGAGAAACTCCTGGTGATGATCCACAAGGTCAAGGATCAGCCGGTCTCCTCCACGCACCAACCGCAAGGAAACTCCAAAGACAGCAGCAGGGTACGCTTCTCCGAGCCCGTCAATGGCGAGCAGTCACAGTTGGGAGAAACCTCAGATGGACCCGATGGACATCTTTCGGTACCTCTCCACGGAGGAGCAGACCAAGTGGTCACCGAACGTCAGCAAGCAGTCGCGGATCAATTCTCCGAGGAGGAGGAGGAACTTCAAGAAGTAGCATGATCCACCCCCTGCCGGTCAGCGTCGGTGCGAAGGTCATGCAAATGGTGATCGGCGTACAAGCCCTCATGACCACCGAGCTCCTCAACCTCAACTATGGCGACCGCGATGTGATGTGGGAACTCGCCTGTGCCCCACAAAGCTGGCTCTCTCAAGCGGTGCAGGACCACGGCATGGATGCTCAACGCATCAACCTCAACAACGGCTTCGACCTCTACAAGGAGGAAACCTGGGTCCGCCTTCGGCAACTTCGTCGTGCACGTAAACCTCGAAAACTGTGGTTCTCACTTCCCTGTACGAAGTGGTGCCGATGGACCAGTCTTAACTACTCCACACCCGAGGGCAAGGAGAAGCTTGAAAAGGACCGCCGCCGCGATCGGAAAATGCTCCGGTTCGCGAGGGACTTTATCCTGGAATCCGTCGATGAGATCCACGACATCGACATCTACTGGGAGTGGCCTCATCCTTGCTACGGGTGGGAACAACGACCTCTTCAAGATCTTTCGGCAGAACTTGGAGGTCGGGATATCGAGTGGCTCCACTGTAGAATCGATGGTTGCGCCTACGGCATGAAGGATCACCTCGAGGAAAACTTCCTGGCAAAGAAATGGTCCATTCGCACCACCGATTGCGACTTCCACCGCCACTTTCACGCCAAGGTATGCCCCAAGAACCACCAGCACACCTACATCCAAGGAATCGAAACCTCAAGGTCAGCCTACTATCCCTGGCGGATGGTTTTGGCAATAGCAAGATGTTGGCGCGATCAGCTCCTACCTCCCCGCTTTCATCGCTGGGCTCACTCCAAGAACGAGAACCATGGTGCTCACTTGGCCTTGGAACTTGCAGCTCAAGAGGATGGTGATCCTCATGCTCTACCAGCGCACCCACCATCCGATCCTGGCCAAGCACCAGCAAGACCTGAACCTCATGCACTTCCACCTGATGAGCCACAGCCAGATCCTCCAGCTAATCCACACCATCCACCGGATGCACCCAGTCCTGAAGAAGTGCAACGGTGGGAAGCCAAGCTAGCTCACTTCCACAAGGCTGCTGGACACCCTACGAACTCCAACCTGGTTCGACTTCTTCAAGAAGCCGGACACCCACGATGGCGCATCGACAAGGCCAAGGAGTTCAAATGCAGTGCGTGTGAAGCACTTCGGCCTGGCGGACTTAGTAGTGGACAAGTCCCTCCAGCGGCAACGTATCCTCTGTACCAGGCTTGGCAGGCGGTCGGTGGATGTCAGCGAGCGGGATGTTCCGGGAGCACCTCGCAAGGTAAAGTTCGCCTTGTTCATCGACCTGGCCACAAAGCTGCGAGAGTCTGCCCGCTCATGCAGTACAACTTCCTCGAGATGAAAGCGGAGAATGCCGAGATGCTCATCAAGGCCTTCTCCGAACGTTGGCTCTCTGACAAACCTCGACCTGAAGTGCTGATTCCTGATTGCGGCAAAACCATGACGGCCAAGTCCATGCACGACTTCTGCAACTCGGTTGGTGTTCAGCTAGCCTTTCCCCCGGTAAAGGAAAGCTGGGCACATGGCATTGTCGAGGCCGCGATCCAAGATGTCAAGATGACGGCCACAGCCATCCAGACGTCCAGCCCAGAGCAGAACCCAGAGGTCACGCTCTACCTGGCTGCGGCAGCCCTCAACTCCACCGAGTACACACGCGGTTTCAGCTCCTTCCAGTGGTGCTACGGCAAGGCCTACAACATCACGGAGGAGGACATTCGCACCTTCGAACATGTCCCTCAAGATCAACGGCAACCTCAAGAAGCTCACACCACAACTACGCGAGTTGTTCCACCGTGCCAAGGCCAAGGAAGTCAGCAGCTTCCTCAAAAATGAAGCTGTTCGCAAGTGCCTGGATAACAAGGAGATCCAGGAGGCCTACAACTCTGGGCGCATCATGCGTGCTCGCTGGGTCCTCACGTGGAAACTGGTTCCCGATGAGGAACATCCAGAAGCCCTCCGAGATGCCATGTCCAACGCGCAGACCATGGACCTGCCAGCACGGTTGGGAACTTGAAGGTCTTGACCTTGCCACGGCATTCTTGCAGACCCAGAAGACCGAGGAGGATAAGAAACTCTGGACCTACGGAACTGAAGAGCTTCGAGAAGCCCTAGGCGTTGGTTCCGAAGGCATTCTTCGCATCCTGAAGAACGTGTACGGCTCCACCACGGCACCCCGTGGACTTTGGCAGGATCTCCATGCAACCTTCAAACGTCTTGGTGGCATCTCCCTGACTTCGGAGAGATGCATGTGGGTATGGCTTTCGCAACATCAGAAAGACCAACAAGGCCGACCTCTCGTCATTGGCGCCATGGGTGGCCATGTAGATGATTTCCACCGGACCGGAGACAAGTCCAACCCTGAATGGAATGAGGTCTGCCAGCAGGTTGACCGTGCCTACGTCTGGGGTACCATCAAGCGTGGAGAATATCGCCACGCTGGCACCGACCTCATCATCGGCAAGGATGAAAACGGTGACACCACGATCACTGTCGACCAACAGTACTACATCGAGTCTCTCCAGGACGTGAACATACCTCCCGAACGTCTTCGTCAAGTGGATTCCGTTCTGGATTCCAACGAAGTTGGACACTGCCGAGCTACCCTGGGAGCCCTGCAGTGGGTTGCGGTGCAAACTCAACCACAGCTCAGTGCGAGATGCAATCTCTTGCTCACCGAGGTGACCGTGAACCCTTCGACCTCTGTTGCACGAGAAATTCAACAAATGGTGTGTGAGGCCCGCAGGAACCCCGTCAAGCTGGAATTCTTCAAGCTGCCTGGAGTCCAATTTTGGACCGACGTAGTGTTCATCACCATGGATGACCAAGCTCACGCCAACCGACCTCAAGGAGATAGCACTGGCGGCATGATCACCGTTGCTTCAGGCCCACGAGCAATCACTGGCGCTCCCACCAAGATGTGTCTTTTGACCTGGCGATGCTGGAAACTCAAACGCAAGGCCATCAGCTCGAACGACGCCGAGGTACAAGCCATGGTCGAATCCGAGGACAACAATTTCCGGATGCGACTTCTTTGGTGCGAACTTCATGGCCAGTCCATCCACCAGCACCGCGACACCGACAAGGTCTCTGCCGGCGAAGAGGTGGTCAAGCTTGTCAAGGGCGTGGTCACTACAGATTCCCGAGGCGGATACGATGCTGTGACTCGCCATGAGTCCCCGATGCTTGGGCTCTCCAATATGAGAGCCGCTCTTCAAGCCTTTCAAGTGAGAGAGAGTTTGGAGCGCACCCTCACAGAGCTTCGCTGGACTGCCTCGGACTATGACTTGGGCGATGCCTTGACCAAGAAGGCACCATCATGCAGGGCCGGGTTACTGCAGTTTCTGAAGACCTCTGTGTGGTCTATAGCCTTCGACCCCAGCTTCCAGAGTGCTCGCAAGAATGCCAAGGCGGGCAAGTCAGCGCTGCAGACTCTGCAGAATCCCTCGTCTACATCAACGGCCCGATCCCGAAGTAATCCAACCACGTCATCAACTGAGAAGGATTTTGTGCCCATGCAACACGGGCATTTAGAGGCTCATCAGTTGATGCCATGCATGTAGATTGTCCAGACATCAGTCTTGACCCTTCCGCAGCTGAAGGGCCCTTTTGCTTGTAGCCGAGCCAGACATTGGCCACGACCCCATAGTCAGTCAGCTGCACAGGCGGCTTGAGAGGAAACAAGGCTTGGCGCCATTCGCTCCCCGCGCTACTCCAGCTGCAGTTTCCTGTATACCACGGCACGAGTCTGCACCCGGGAGGTTGCGACCTTAAACCGCCCTTGGGATGGCTTCTCGGGCTCAAGCCCACAAGTGCCTTGCGGCCCCAGGCCCTGGCACTGTAAAGGCTCCATAGGTGTCCTTTTTAGGTGAGCCTGGTTAAAAATAGATGGGTTCCACTGGTTTAAATGGGTTTTGTCCATTTACCAGGGAAACCCATCTGTTTTTCCAAAAGGCCACCTATGAAAGGCTGCTTTTTTGGGCTGATGACGCATCATCAGAATCAGTTCACATTACAGGTAAAGGCTCTTTTCTTGGCATCCTATACTTTAGGCTAATGACACATCATCAGAATCAGCCCACAATACAGTAGTTCGCCCATGTCCTCATCCCGAAATGTCCGCGCACTGCCACAATTTGTGTGTGAGCGCGCACGTGTTTGCTCAATTTGGCATGTTTTTGAATTATAGGAGTGTTTGAATGTTGCTTGAAAGTGGATCTGAGGAACGGGGGGTCCATATCCTAGCTGGATGTTCAACAGCCCATGCCTGTTTAATTTACCTGGACCCCAACGAGCACAAGGGAACCCCTAGCCAGAGGCCCGGCTTCCTTTTGCAGGGCTCCACATGGGTCTGTCTCAGAATAGAAGAGCCCAAGATGGTAGGTTTACTTTTGGTTGCCCTTTAAAAGTCCGCCAAAACGTTTTGGGCGCCCCCAAAAAAAAACAACCACTAGGCTGGCAAATGGTCTGTGGAATGACCTCCCAATGTGTGTTTTGGGGTTATTTGCCAGCCATTTGGGGCCAGACCTGGCTGTGGTTGTCAAAACCAATGGGATGTGGTTTTCGGTGAATTCACCAGCCATGTTGGAGCCTATTTTAGCGGTTGGATTGGGATGTTCACCGGCACCGAATCTCCTTTGAACCCTCCCTGATGCCCCAACCCTTTTTTGAGCTATTCTAGGGGTTGATTCCGCATTCTTTTCAACCATCGTTCTTTTCTAAAACCAGCGGTTTCCCCTGGGGGTACGATTTGGCTTTTGACCCCTGGCCACCTTTTGTGAGGCACTACGGCGTGAAGATCAGCTGCGCCGAAAGCACTTCTTCTTTGGGCCAGGTGGCGGTGGGCACGGACCGATTTCAAGCGGGGCGCCCCAGTGGGGTTGTCTCAAAATTGGATGTCCTTTTCGCGTTCAAACGACCACCAAACAAAGGGAACCTTCCAAAAAAGGGTCCACCAGAGGTTGTCTCCAGTGGTCCTTTTGTGTTTTGATGTTTCTTTTGGGACTGGTTTCAAGGCAGCACCCACTTTGAGGGATTCGATCCGAATCCCACACATTCCCAAATGTGTTTTGGAGAGAGGTTCCTTTTCAGGGACTTTTTTCAGGGGAACCTTTAAATTGGTGTCCTTGTGATTTCCCTTGTTCGAGCCACTACAAAGGGGTACCCTCAAGAAGAAGACATCCCCAAATGGATGTGTGTGTGTGTTTGACCCCTTTCCTAAACACTGGTTTACTGGGCTAGGACAACTCCCGGTCCAAATGTTGAGCAGTTCCTGCGAGGTGGGGTTCGACACCGCCTTGGCCAACTGCACTGAGCTGCTGGTGGTGGCTCTCAACGAGTTGGGGGAGTCGCCCGTGGTGGTCTCCACAACCATCGAGGCCCGCGGCGTTACACCGGGTGGGAGCTGAAGCGGAGACGACGGTTTGAACAAAAATGTGGGGCTGAACATAGTCGTGGTCCCGTTTCCAAACTGGGTGTTGAATAGACAAATTCCCTGTTGGTCTTCTCAAAAGGAGGCCAAAAGGGTGAAAAGTTGCTTGCTTCCTTGTTTCCCTTGGCTTCGAACGAGGCAACCGCTTCATCATCCCGTGTTGTTTCCTCGGGCATCGATGTTCGCTTTATGCCCAACTCCCCGAAGTTCATTCCGCAGGGTGTCCCTTCAAACATGGTGATCCGTTTTTTGCTTGAAGCCCTTGCAGCTTCAGATCTGTCAGATCTCGCGGGGATGGGCTTCCTCCCCTGTTTGTTTGGGTTTCCTCCTTGTGGTTTCACAGACCTAGACTCGTAGTTGAGTGGTCGACCCCACTTTCCGCAAAGAAAGGGTTGTCTTGGGTCCTGAAGGGGGGGGAAGGAATCCCCGAGCAAGACTGAGCCAAATTGAACTTCAAAAACGTGAAAAGAAGTCGAGGCAGTTCACGTCACACACTGGAGATGCCATAGTGTTTTGTTTTTTTTTGTGATAGGCTTGGTTTATCAAGTTCGAAGGGAACCTGAGCAACAAAAGTTCCGCGGGCCCCTCCATATCCACACATTTGTGATCAACCTGCGTCCGGTTGCCACGATGGCTAGCCAGGTATGTTACCTCTAGATTTTGTTTGATTCTGCCTGGTGACCTGTCGGCCTTGGAGGGCGGATTGATGCTGCCTCACATGTGTCAAAGATATATGTGTGTGTGTGTCATATACATCGCCGCTGGCTTGCACAAAGTGGTCATGTTTGTAGAACGGTTCGTGTCTAGCAGAAAGTCCAACGTTAGATATGTGTTTTTGAAAAAACAAAAGTGAAGCACGTGTCCACTGAACCCAGCGCGCGTGTGTGTGTGAGGGAGAGAGAGAGAGAGAGAGAGCGAGAAGAGAGAAGCCTGGTGCAAATGCGGGTGAAATTAAACTTGCGGAAGTGCTAAGTTAAGTTCAACCTGGTGCCAAAGATATGGCCGGTGTTTGCATGAGCCTCCCTTTCTTTGCATTTCTTTGCTACATGTGCAATCCTCTACTTGCATATTCCGGGCAAGGTGACTCGAAAGGCTTGGAAGCGATGCATGCGAATGCACTGCCTAGTTTATAGCGAGCTCACCTGGGGGTATAACGAGCCGCTGATCAGCTTTTGGAACCTAGCCGTTGGAATTATAGCTAGGTCTGCCAGGATCGTGGCCTTATCCTTCTCCCTTTTTTGGTGGGGAGGGTTCCCCTAAAAGAGACTTGAAGCTTAAAAAACATGGGGTACCAACTTATTTTCTGACCTCTCAAATGTGGAGGACCTGGATGGCTGTGGTTGTCAAACCCAATGAAATCCCATTTTGGGGTTTTCGGTGCACCACGCATTTTAGAACCTATTTTAGCGCTTGGATTGGGATGTTCACTGGGGTACGATTTGGATTTTGACCCATGGCCATCTAGGTCCTCCAGATTAGAGAGGTTAGGTTCAGTGTACCTACCCCAAAATGGTACCATTGGTTTTGATCCGCGCCTTGTGCACCGCCTTTTGCACCGAGGACAGGTCCACTGAGAACTGCCCCAACGACACGCACCACAGCTTCCGGTCGAGCCACTGGCGCTTGGTGGCCCACGACGGCGTCACTTCCGCCTGGAAGCTGCAGGGGCTACGGTTCTACGAGGAGCTGACTGCGGAAGACCGCGGGTGTAAGATTTCCAAGTTAGGGCTTCAGGGTTCAGGGATGAAATTAAACAAGGTAATCATTTTGTTCAAAACACCAAGGGGGATTGTATAGGGAATTTTTCTAGCAACATGCCTCGGCAAACTGAGCATCACGGATCGGGAAGGGGGGAAGGTTTCAGCGAAATCGCTCGGCCAACCGCTGCTTCCGATTTGTTTCGAGACCTTGGGGATCCCTGCAGCAAGCAGTGACCCCCCCCCTTTCCGCGAACTTCCGGTAGCGGGCACAGAAACTGAGAGCTGAGCGAAGCGAACCAAGAACAAGCTCACCCATCACCAAGCAACAAAAACGATCAGTTAAGGAGAAACGCGCAAAGACTTAAAGACAACAACAAATCATAGCATGTCGGTTTCGTAATTAATTTTGCCCGTCATTGTTCGATTATTTTTCAAGGGTGACGAGTTTACAACGGCAACCAGCCTGAAAAACCTCAGGGAAAAAAAGAAAGAATCTGCCACTCCGTTTTGCTGATTTTACGGGTTCAATTCCAGCCATAAATCGTGGGGCAGTGGATTGTCACGAGTTCTTCTTTTCTATCTATTCCCCCCCCCCCAAATGGGTATGGGGCAAAATTGAAACACCAAGGCACAGCAGGTTTTCGTGTTTCTTTCCATTTGCCAGGTGCCATTCAATGGGGCCATTTTGTCGACCACCAAATTTCCCAAATTTCCAACAGGACGCCTTGTGCTCCGCGCTTCTGGCCACGGTGCCCTCCGAGTGGCCCCGAAGACCGCGGCTTTTGCCTGGGGCGCCGGTGGCGCTGCCAGGGGCCACGCGGAACTTGCACGAGATCTTTCAGGTGTCCACTCGCCAAGGCGCGGGGGGGGGGGGGGTTCTTGGAAGCCTCACTGGGGGGGGGGTTTTTGGACCTGGGATTTATTTGGGGGGGTTCTGCTTGAAGAATATGGTGACCTCAAAGCACAAGTTCCTTTGCTTGGGGTTTACGATGGTCCGCGGAAGGATCCTTACCGACTCCTAACCATGGCCATGGACATACAAAGAGTTTTGACCGTGTCCGTGGCGAGTCACAATCAAGACCAGGGTACGGGTCATTGGAGGCTTCGGGACCAGCCATGGGCGCGCATATCCGGCTTGTTCAATTAAACTGATTCTGGGTAGACCATTGTAATAACCGAGTTTTGAGTATGACTTGGCACCCCGCCCTTTCACATGCCAAGGGAGCATGAATGTCCCTCCCCACCCCCGATTTCAGGGATCAAAAGGACACGGGCCAATCGTGAGGCTGGATGTGTATGCTTGGTGAGTTGTTTAAGGCCCAACTGCAAGCAGCGGCTGGAGAATTTGCGAAAAACAGGATCGCTGAACAGAATGAGCATGCAAGTCGGAGGTACTTCAATCAAGAAAATGCTTGCGGCTGGCGGATGGGTAGCATTCAAGGCAGCCTCTGTGTTTTTGGTGTCTACGTTTTTTTTCTTTTATTTGGATAGGTGGCAAGTTTCCTGTAGACAACTTTCTCTTTGATGGTCGTATCTTGACATGTAATTATGATCGTCTTATTTGTATCTTATGGATCTGTTATATGTTTATATTATGCTTTGTTCGTTTCTGATTTATTTTATATATGTTTGTCTCTTTCACCTGGCATGTCTCATCTTAATAATTCTCCAGAAATAGATCATGAAGAGAAAGGCAAACATAAGATAAATGCTGGGAAGATTCTAGGAGTTTCTACGTCCTACATCTTTCCTTCTTTCTCCCTATCCTCCATTCCATTCCTAATCCTTCATGATATCCTTGTCTTGTTCATTCTCGTTATATCTTCTTCCTTGTCCTTCCGTCCAATCCAGAATGTAGCCAGCATGGACAAGGAAGAAGATGTAACGAGAATGAACAAGACAAGGATATGATGAAGGATTAGGAAAGGAATGGAGGTAGAGCGAGATGGTCTTCTTTCATCCATACATCACATACCGCCATCTCCATCTGTCTTTATCCTTCATTCCCCTCGCTCTCTTTCCCTCGCTCATGGAATTTCCGGAGTGACAGATGGAACAGAGGAAAGGACATGAAAGGGAAACGGCTAGCTCACTTCCTCACCGTTCATTCGCTAGTCCTCCCACAATAGTTTCTACAAAACCAGGGGCACACTCGGAGTTTGCTACATCCCTTGCAGGAAAGGTTCGCATATTTTGAAGTCATTGACCGCACAAGAATTGAGTTTGGAGGGTTGGCAAAACGGCAAGACCCGTGTCCCGCCACGGGTTATATAAATTTAGAGCGTTTAACTTGGTGTTTGGACCACGTTTGACAGCTCGAGTTTTGGTGGTGGCGCAGCAGATCGCAGCGAAGGGATGTTTTGTGCCCTGCCACAACTCGGAGCGCAAAGAGCCACTGCGTTCTTTGTTTTCCCCAATCAACTCACAGAGATTACATCGTAGGCAAGGGTTAAGATGTAGACAAGGAAAGTTGATGACTAAGATAGCCGGTCTTGTTGTGGTCTCCACGGCACGGCGTGAGCAGTACCAGTGGTACCATTTACCTTAGAGCAGTACCCCTTCGCCAGGTGCCACAGTGAACGGCACGGAGATCGTGCCGAGCTCACGGCCCTGGTGGGGCATCAGTTCCGTTTCAGTTCCGTTTCGTGTGAGTCGAGCTCCAAAAATCGACCCTGGGGGCGCTTCTGTTGTGGGGGGAGCACAGTGGGGCGAGCCCAATCTGAGCGTTGAGGCTATGTTGGAACTTCTCCAAAGTTTAAGCATTGCAAGGATTTGGCGGGGAGAGCGCAAGTAAAAGCGTTTGCTAGGAATCGGCCAGGAATGCCTGAATCAGATTTGGGGGCAGTGAAGGGATCAAATCTTGGGCCATGTCTCACGCTTCACGAAAAGTCGAGGTGGTCTTCCGGCACGCCCTGCGCGCCCTTCGAGCCGACCAACGGCTCGAGCCCCGGCTGCACGGTGGGCTTCCGCTGGGAGTCCGACGTGGTGATGTCCCGCCAGGGCCGCGCACGCAGCTCCGGGATTGCGACTGGGTCTTGGCTTTGGTGCATCTTGCTTGGATGTTAGGACTTGAACTTTTTGATCCAACTCACGGGTTTCCGTATTAAACCACTAAAAGTTATTCACTGTTAGCAGAGGAAAGCAACCGAGTTGGGATGGGGTTGGATTACGGCTGGAGTTGTGAGAGAAATTTGGAGGTTTGGGTTGGGTTCTGTGGGCTTGAGATCCAAGCTACTTAATCTTTCATCCATTCGCATGGATTTGGGACGGAGGAGTCGCCGAGAGTTCCGTGTGGATGTAGTGACCCATGTCCCTCTTCGGGGGAAGACGGGGAAGAACAACACCACACCACCCCACCCCACCCCACCCCACCCCACCCCACCCCACCCCACCCCACCCCACCCCACCCCACCCCACCCCACCCCACCCCACCCCACCCCACCCCACCCCACCCCACCCCACCCCACCCCACCCCTGCTTAGGGATCTTGAAGCCTAAGGTAAGGCCAGTGGCGCAGCGGGTGCACTGTGTAGAGCTGGACCAGTCCAGCCTACCAGGGGAGTATGCCACACAAGTGTCCCTTGAGTGCCTGGACTCACATGGAACTAAGCATTTCGGCACTGCGGCCGGCCAGCTTCATGTTGGGATAACTTTACTTCCATTTGCTTAAGAACATGTTTTTACTTCCCATGTTGGTGTTAAAAGGAAGTTATCGCTACTGGACATATTATTTATTTTATTTTTCCGGGGTCTTAACCAAATGGAAGTTTACCCTGATGGCAAGGAGCGGAATCCTTGAGCTGTCAGGTGGTACGACGAAGCGCGGCAGATGTATCGCAGCTTGCTGCGGAGACCCGCGACGGGTGGGCAGCTGGTGATGTCCTATCAGGGAGTTCTGGCTTCACAGTGCGGGTAGTGCCGAAACATCGAAGCTGCCGAAACATCGATGCAGCATGACTTGACTCCACCAAGCTGAAGATCCATCGAAGCCGAAGTTCATGCAGCATGACTTGACTAGAAGAAAGCTGCCGAAGATCAGATGCATTGACTCCATGGCCCTCACCGACTTGTGAGCTCGGGCGTGATCAGCCCTACGATCTTACGGTCCCATCACTGCGTTCAGATTCCATGGCGTCTGGCCCCTGAACCAGCTGTGCTTGCACACATTCGACGAATATGGGAATTCCAACAGAGAAACAAAAAGACTTCGATGAAATGCCATTCTTCATTCATAGAAAAATGCCATAGAAAAACAGTTGCATTGAAGGATGGCCGTTGTACTTTAAGGGCAGGAGGTTGGGGCTAGGTCATGTTCCAAGAAACGTCTGGCATAGCTGTAGTTCGGCTGAGATTAGGTGAATAAGGATTGAGGGGTTTTGCTTTGGAGGTAATTGGAGACCCATAGTTTAAGGATTGGGGCTAGGCGAGGCGCCAAGAATCGGGTGTGTAAAGGAGGGGATTGAGCAGGTTGGAGCGGTGCAGCGGCCGCCCTACTGGCTAGAGCTACAATCATAGTCGAAGAGTGCCTAGGTGACTTGACTGCTATTGGGTTGGATCTTTAGACTTTAACTTTTTGGGTCAACAGCAACCAAGGTGAAACCCTGAGAATTGAGGCTGGCTCGCCTTAATTTAAGGCTGGAGGTTGCTTGCGAGTATTTGCTGGGGACACAGTTGTCGGAATCTAAGGGTAATAGAACTAGGTAGGCAGTTGGAGAGTTGCCCAAATTCCGGCTGGAATGAATTTTAGAGAGATGTTCATTATTTCAAACGGGATGTTATTGTTGTTTGGTCCTAGGGGCTCAGACGAAGTTGTGTATTAATGTATAATATGTTTGTATTCTTGAGTTTTGAATTTGTTGTGGTGTTCGGCTAGCTTTGCGGTTTTTGATGATTATGATTTGTTGTAGTATTGGAATAATGAATAATTTTGCGAAAAAAATATGAATAAATCTTAGCAGGAAATAATATTGATACATGTCAGAAAAAAAAACACTATATGGGTATTTGGAAAAATTATAATTATCAATATTGATTAAATAAATGTTATATTAACATTTATATAATGAATTAATTTGATAATATTAGGTATTATTATGCTATATATATATTATGTGTTGAAAAGAAACAATGTATATATTGAAGAATGTATTTGATTAGTTATTAATTGTATTATGTTTATATATATATATACATTAGTATATTGTACATGTGTATAATTATATAATTGTGTATTTATGTTTAAAGGAAAAATAGAAAGAGAGTGAGAGAGTAAAGTGAGAATGAGAGAATAAGAGGTTTTGAGGTAAGGTTTTGCGAGGGTGTTAAAAGGATTTTATGAAATTGTATAAGGGTTATGGGATGGTATGAATGTTAAAAGGAATATTGTATGTTATTGGGAATATTATTTGTTTGTTTTTGTTTTTTAATAATTGTTTTTTTTTGGGTTTTAGTTTAGATAGATTTCGTAATTTTGAGAGTTTATTTATTATTATTGATATTTTAGTTTTATTTAAAATTATTTATTGAATATTTTTTGTCATGGATAAATATAGTTTTGATGTAATTGTAAAAAAATATAATATTAATAAATTTAAGAAATATAGTTTAAAGGATTATTGTATTAATCCGAGTTAATTTATTTGTTTTTTATATTTAATATAGTATAAATGTAATTTGAATTGAATATTAGAATTTAGAAAGAATAAAATAAAATATATGAGCGATTAATTTCATTTATATTAATGGAACCATATTAAGGGGGTTGGAATTATTTTTTAATTATAGAATGAATTGGGAAATATTTTGAAAATGAGATGGGATAAACAAATATAATAATATGAATTAGAATATTTTACGATACTTAATTGCAAAAGGGGTGAAATAAATTTGCAAAGAAATAGTGTAATTGGTTTGTGTAAGATATGCTTTGAGCCGTTTAAAAGCGGGTTATGTTAAAATGAATTGAAAAATAAATTTAGAATGAGTATGAAATTATGTAATAGCAATTTGTTTTGCGAAAGGGTATACGATAATAACGAAGGAATTAAAGGAGGTAATAAGCTAACCAAAATTCGATTATTTCTTTAAACTCCTCTTTTTCTTTTTCTTGATTTGAAACATATTTATAAATTGATATATAATTTAGTAAAAAAAATAAAAAATGAAGTTGATATTAATATAATAAATATTTATATATATATATAAGTTATTTTAATTTTACATAAATTAAATATAAATTATATATATATATTCTTTTATTTAATTATAATATATTATTATTTATAAAATAAAATGTTTAATTATTATTATCAAGATTTATAAATTTATATTTGTTTTAAATATTAATATATTATAGAATTAAAAATTATTCTATATATATAATTATATTTACTTATATATAATTAATTTATAACATTTATAATATAATTATATAATTAATGAATAAACCATATTATTTTTGGGAAACCAATGATTTTCCTTCCAAAATTAGAATTTTTCAAAATATATACAAAACATAAAATATATTTTGGTAGGTATGGCTCGAAAATCGTAATTTTTCAATAGAAGAAAAACAATATTTGAATAATTCCGATTCGAAAATCGTAATTTTATAATAAATATAATGAAGAAAATTATATTTTGGCAGCTCAAACAAATCAGATCTTAGTGCGATTCATAACAGACAAATCGGAGAATATATCATGTTTGAATTAATTATATCAATATTCTATATAACAAATTATATATATAAAATCTATAAAATCTTTATCTAAATTCTATAAGCAATATATATTTCTTAGCGGCCACCAGCCCGTTCTAATGGCCATTTGCACATGTTTAGCGGCCGTTTACACGTCCGCCCCAAAAATTTTCTTTTTCAGATTTCCATAACAAAAAATATCCATCAAACTCCCACCAAAAAAACAAATATAAATGTATTTTAGCATATTTCATCCAGACCAATAAAATATAATATTTTACAAAAAATAAAATTCCCGAAATTCATGTATTTTATATAAGCCCATTAATATCCCCAACATCGGTTTCAATATCCTTTATATATCCAACATCCCCAATATCACCAATAAATCGTAAATAATAATATACTATCAGGCTTCATGTTGGCGAAGCCGGCCGGGAGTACGTGTTCGAGCCTTGTTTTTGGGGTCGCGCACGCGGATGTTTATTGGTTTGAAAAAAATGACAACCGGGGTTCCAAGTTCATACTAGGGTTTGTGGTAGCAGGGTCTTAGTGCCAGCGTTTGGGCACCTACCGGGCCGGTAGTGTTCCTTATCGCTGTCCCCATTGTCACATGACCTGCAAAGCTCATCCTTGCGTTTACCGGCCAAGATGTAGACTTGACATGTTTGCTTTTGTGTTATGAAGGCGTTGGCGTTATCGACTGGGCATGAAGTTGCGGCACTCCTATGGTTTAGCCTCTCATATTGCAGCTGACCCTATAACGCTAGACCTAGTGGTCAACAAGTAGCTCTTGCTACTGACCGCATACTTGATTGAGGTTTGCCACAAAACATGTTCTTGAAATCACCAGCCCACCCAGCCATCCGCTGTAGTTGTTGCTGCGTTAGCCATCTTTTGTAGCTGTTGCCTTAGCTGCGCCTGTGAAGCGCGCCATGGCTGCAATGGCAGCGCAAGAGGCCTCTGCCCAGGGAACTGATATCCAGAAAAGCCTGAGTGAGGGGACGCCTATGTGTGTGTTGAATGATTTCGACATGCAGAATGACGCTAGGCAAGCCCATGGCGCCGGAGTGAATCTGCATGTGAACATTGCCGATCAGCCAATAATCGCTGCAGAAGAGGAGACGCAGGGCAACGACCAGGAAAGCGACGGCAACCGCATCACCTTAGATGCAGATACGGGTGACCACGATATGGCTCAGGTTCCCGGGGGCGCGGCGAAGGTCGAGGATTCCATGTCATGCCTTCGTAGCGAGCGAAGCCGGTTGAAAACTGCCTTAAAGCAATGCACGAAATCGCTGCGAAACGAGGCTCGGGGCACATAAAATCTAGCCTTCTCAAAAGCTTTCGCGCGGTTATTGGTTTTTCTTTTGTGCGTGCGTCGATGTGTTGTTGTAAGCCAAGCATCGGGTATGAAGTCGCGCGGCAGGCACGACGCCGAAAGCGATTGCTTGCTCGTGCAGGCAAGTTAGGCATGACTGACCTATTGTGGCTGATGAGCAGGCAACCGATGAAGCAGTAGAATCCAGATCTCTTTTTCTGAGGTGCTGACTGCGATATAAAATCGCAGAGGCGCTAGTTGAAGCCAACATGCGCTTCATGCAATGTGCTCGGAGAAGAGCGCTTTTGCTTGGGATGCTTTGCCTTGATGTGCCGCGACAGAATCGCCGCGGGCACTTCCTGTCTTTGCCGTTGATTTCAGTCAACGCCGCCTCTTGTGACCACTTGAAGCGGAACATGTGCTTCCTTGCAAAAAACAGTGGCTGCGCTTCCTGAGAAGCTTTCCGTGGCCTGACAATGAAGGTTGTCCTTGAGTCGCAGATCTTGGACTAACAGATTGAGAGCTCTTTCTTGATTTTATGGGCGGCGGTGCATGCGTTTCTACCAAATGTCCTTGCGCTTGTGCTCGACCTGAATGTGACTCCTGCTTGAGGGCTTCGCCCTTTGTGAGCCGACCTTTTGGTGGTGGTGTTCTTTTTGTGTGCTCATTTGTTCCTCTGGTGGTGGTTCTCCCGCGTAGTCCATCGCACGCCTCCAAAATGCTGGTCCTCCCTGGTTAAGTTCGCGAAACTTGTGCATCGCAGTGTGGAGCGCGTTCGGCTTCACCTTGGCCTCTGCTTAAGGGCGTCGCCCTTTGTGAGCCGACCTTTTGGTGGTGGTGTTCTTTTTGTGTGCTCATTTGTTCCTCTGGTGGTGGTTCTCCCGCGTAGTCCATCGCACGCCTCCAACATGCTGGTCCTCCCTGGTTAAGTTCGCGAAACTTGTACAGCGCGTTCGGCTTCACCTGAGTCGCCGTTGTATGTGTCAGTATCAGGCATGATCCCAGGTCTTTTGGACCTATCAAATTAGCTGCACCACTGCTTGTAATTTGAATGGCAGGAGTGTGTTGCAGGAGCGGCCGCGCAAGTCAAACATGGGGCCGCGCAAGTAAAGCGCAAGTGAAGCGCAAGTGACGCAGTGATGATTCATCATCATCATCATCCGCATGGTCGAAAGAATCCGGAAGATTGCTAAATTTTCGCGCAAGTCGCGCGCAAGTCGCGCGCAAGTCGTAGATGCCTTGGATCAGGAGTGGCGCATTTCTGTAGTTTGCATTATTTTCTTTGTTTCTGCAGATCCCAGCAATGAGTTGCAGCAGCAGCCAGCAGCAGCAGCAGCAGCAGCAGCCAGCAGCAGCAGCCGCAGCAGCAGCAGCCAGCAGCAGCCGCAGCAGCCAGCAGCAGCAGCCAGCAGCAGCCAGCAGCAGCAGCAGCAGCCAGCAGCAGCAGCAGCAGCAGCCAGCAGCAGCCAGCAGCAGCAGCCGCAGCAGCAGCAGCAGCAGCAGCCAGCAGCCAGCAGCAGCCAGCAGCAGCAGCAGCCAGCAGCAGCAGCCAGCAACAATTTGCAGCGGTGCACACACCTGAGACCTCATACACTTAAGGGGCATGTTTTTGGGGGACCTCACTCTTATGAAGACCGCCGCTTGGATTTGCAATGAAAACATCCTGGGATAAGAGTTTTAATGCGTTTTTTTTCCAGCTCACCTTGGCCTCTGCTTGAGGGCTTCACCCTTTGTGAGCCGACCTTTTGGTGGTGGTGAAGAAGAAGAAAAAGAAGAGAGAAGAAGAGGAGAGAAGAGCGTTGTTTTTGCTCTTGGTTCATCCTATACATTGTTCCGTTCCATGACCGTCGCGATTCTGGGAATCGAAGCCTCTTTGGCCTCCCTTTCCCCCCTCCCCCCCCATACAATGCAAGGTGTCCGTAGATTGCCTGTTTGGAATCCGCGCCTTTGCTGTGCCCTTTTACTCTTTTATAATTCTCGAATACCGGATCGGAATCCGCGCTCATTTTCCTGCGGTTTTTCGAATCCGCGGCCTTACCCCGAAGTAGTTTTTACGCATCCGCTGAGAATCCGCGCGAATCCGCGCATAGTGCTTCGTCGTTGGTTCTTGTTAAGGCGCTTGCAAACGCAAGCAATAGCTGTGAATCCGCAGCAAGCCGCACATATGTTTCAGCATCCCAGGCCCAAGGCCTCACATAATGTCTTTAGATGAGCAGGCACACGCGCAAGCGCAGCATGTTATCCACTGCATCAACATATTTGCGCGACTCCGCGCTTATTGAAGATGGTGAGAACTGAGTGCCAAGGGCTCACTTGAAGCGAACTCCTTGTATTTTTCTTTCGCCTGTTTGGGGATTGATTGACTGAGTTTTCGGACCCCTCCATTTCTGGGGGGGGGGGCGCATCAAAAAAAAGACCAGCATACAAAACACCGGCCCAAAGAAGGAACGTGGCTTGCTT